AGCTTTACAAAAACAGAGTCTTTTTGCCGATTCAAGGAAAAACAATACAATACATCTAGGGCGGGTTACCATATCAAAAATTTCAGCTCACTTTTTTGGACTTTTTGAGAAAACTGTGTATTGATCACTTGTCATGGGCCGATTTTTACGTGCAATGTCTCATTGGAAAGCTCATAATGCTAGAAAATTATCAATTCAATTTGAAAATCTATTTTTAGAAGGTGCCACACCTAAAAAGCACGTATAGCCTACACCAACTTTAAAGCATAGTAGTATACCTAGTAATAACAGGAAGAGTCCTTGTTTTTTTTGGTTTTTTTTTTCAAGCGTAACGTTGCAGCGCGGCTGTACGCATGGGTAGCGAATGACGTAACTTTAATTTTATAACTTTTATTTTAACTCTTTCATTTTCCGTAAGTGGAGCCATGGTAACCTAAAATAAAACGACTCATTTAATTATATGCGCCAAATGCTCAAAAGAGGGCGCTGTGCAAACATCTTCACTTTCGATTTTCAAACTGCCCTTTTTATCTTTAAATCGCATTCGCCCAAAAAAGCGCGGTAACTGGAAATCAAAATTGCGTGTGCTTACAACCGCCCCCTCACCCCCCCCCCCCAAAAAAAATACTTGGTAACTTTTCGACTGTCGCCACACCGTAGACAATTCAAAAAGCCGTAGTTTAACTGATTCAATTAAATGGTATTAAGTGGCAATGCAACCCCCCCCCCTCAAAAACAAACAAACAAACAAACAAACACCCCAACAAACACCCAACCCACCAGGCCCCGGCTTCCCCCACGGGTGAAAAAACATTGAAAAAGGGGGGGGGGGGGAATCGGGAGAAGTGCCCACAATTTGGGGGGGGGGGGGGCGGCAAAAGGAAGTCAGTTGCTTGCCCTACTATTTTCATCCGAGTATTTCTATACTCGTCTGGTGTCTGTACAATTCCTAATAACGATAATCCAATGAGTGTGTTAGTAAGAATGCCTTGAAATTCCTAATCTTATTCTATTCAAGCGACTTCAACAAAAATCACCTTAAACTATTTAATGTAAAAGCTCACATCCCGTATGTTTAAAATTGGTGTAGGGTGTTGATGATCCTCAGATGATTTCAACTTAGCTTGATTTCAACTTAGATTTCCAACTTTCGGCTCGATCTACAGAATGTTTATAGAATATTTCCGGGGAGGGACGAATATCAGGAAATAATCGCACTTTCATTCATAATGTAGCTTTCCCCCTTTTTTACATTAATCACTATAATACATGTAATGTATCCGAGGATTATAAACAATTCACACGTTTTGACCGGCGCATTACAGGGTTAGAAATCAAACACCTCTTTACACACGAAAGAAACGTAGGGTAAATCATCAATCATTGGATATCCAACACTCAGCTTCCACATAATAAAATTAGGTAATTAATGACATAAATCATTTCTCTGAATGTAGCCTACATAGATGCTTGCCTCGTGAAAAAAACTACATTCTAGCCCCAGTTCCACTCGGACAACCTGATGGGTGTGTGTAGACTGACACTTTTGTACAAGTCCATTCACCACCAAGTAGCTGCAGTTGACACGGACCATTACCGGGCTAAATCAGAGAAGGGAGGAATAGCAATGCGAAAATCTTCCACAATCTCCTTTACCCATCCATCAGCACAGAAAGGTTGCTTCAAGTTCTCCTTCATACCAAGGTCCCTTGTGGAGTGGAATCACCTACCTGCTAACATAAGGGAAGCTGCAACTGTTCAAACCTTCAAGACAATCTTGGCGACATCCAGATATCATCTTTAATAAGGAGGGGGCCATCATTAGCGTCCGCTAGCCACCAACGCACCTGCAACTTTCATATCCTGTAGCGGAGATTGTTGCAGTATCAAGCAGATGCAAATTGCAGTAAGAAGTCTGACTGGTGAAGTAACGTTGGAACGGCGACTCCGTAAACATCAGTTTTTGGTTCTCTCCTCAATGATAAATTAAAGCGGACCATCGCATCAACATATGAAAACCAGTTGAACGTGGTGGTGGCGCTGTCGGCTCAAGCCTGGGCCATGATCCGATAACAAAAAAAGCTCAAGCCACGCTCACCGATTCCAGTGAAGATTTCTGAGGAACAGCTTTTTAAAGGAATCTCCTTTTCACAGAAATCTCTACACCCCAACTCACTTCCAGGTTAAACCTTGAGATAAATTTGGCGGGGTATAAATTTGGCGCAGTGTAAAATGTGTTGAACTGTACTAGTTGGACACAAGATGGAATCCAACCGATTGTCACCAGAGGAAAACTGCACTTACATAGATGAGGAGTGGGCGACCGACTTGATGTACACTACCACAGACACTGTGGTGATCACCGTCATTTTCCCGATCATTTTGTGCCTCGGTGTCATCACCAACTCAAGCTTTCTGTTCGTTGTGATTCGTGTTTCAAAAAGGAAATCTCACACTACACTGTACTTGGCGCTTATGTTTATTTGTGTTCAATGTAATGGACCGATCAAGTAAGCACCGCCCCATGGTGTTCTGACCAATCACAGCCGTGATTTATGTCCGACGTGCGTGCACAGAAGTCCGACATGCGTGCACGCGCGTATGATGCGCGCGGCAGGAAAATGCAGTGTGGCATTGGAGAGGAGCACGTGGTAATTTTCCAACGTGCGCAGTGGGCGGGGCTTACTGGATTGGTCCATTAAACGTCGTTGAAGGGCAAAACCTAATATTGATTTACATCACCCCGACGCAAATTCCATCTTATGAATAGTTTCATTGCGGTACCCGCTGCTACATCCGATTCGAACCAGCCAACCGATCCCGCAAGCTCGGTGGTTGAGTGGCAAGACGTCTGCACTAGAAAGCAGGAGGTCGTGGGTTCGAGTCCCACCCGAGTGATTTTCCCCCCAACTTTCACTCGGGAGGTAACATACTGAGTATACAGTGTACCTAATATTGATTTACATCACCCCATTTTTATATCTACAGGGTGAGTTAAAAAGAAAGAAAGAGACCTGGATTAATGATTTTTCTTTTCTTAAAAAGCAATAAAATTTGATACACCACTGAAATATGTCTTAAAAACAGCATGTTCTTCCACTCATCTGAAAAAGAAAAGAATTACTGAAATTGATCCATGCTTGTTTACAAAAAGTACCTATTTTTATAGCTGGCCATGAAATGCCATTGGGAACTATTGAGCCGAGTGAGAATTACAGCTTACACACAAGCATTCAATAAACAAATTTAAGATTTTAATCATTTCAGCTGAGACTGAAACGTTGTTTTTACCGTCAGATTTTGTGTTTTGAATATTTTGAAAATGTGTCCGTTCTGTTATTCCCTGAAATATTGATTGCGATTTTTTGTCTGTTGTCCTTTGCCAGTTTTCGTTCAGTCATGGAGGAAAACGTCCATGTTTCATTGTATTTAATGGGTGTTTATCAGTTCGTAGAGCGGAGAATGATCAGTGGTGGACAGCTGATTTTTGTGATCTCTTTGATTAAAATAGACATAACTTGGGAATAGAGTATGCAAATTACGTGAAATTTCAGTATCAGTCCAAAAACAAGTACTTTATCCATATGTCATTTTTCTGAATTGGAGCGAGCTACATGTTTTTTTTTTTTTAACTTTGTGGTCTTACATAATAATAATAAAAAAACACATATGAACTACAGAACTACTGAATATCGTAAAAGTCCTTGTTTTATTCCTTCAGATTATAACATAAGAGGCTCATACACATAACACGGAAGGATGACATCTCTGTCTGTTAAGGGCAAAAAGTGTTGTGTGAAAAAAAAACCTGCAGAAATGTAAAAAATTTAAAAAAAAAAATGTAATTTTAAAATGAAATACCAATTCTTGCTGACAATTGCTGATTTGAACACCTATGTGTACTTTCCTCGCCTTCCACCGCTGTGACCCGGGTTCAATTCCCGCCTGGGCCAACATGTGGATTGGGTTTTCAGTCCCTGCCTGATTCCATGGGTTTTCCCCAGAATATTCTTCTGGGATTTTCCTCCCGCCTCCAAAAACTGTAATTTCTTCTCATTGTCTTCTCTCTACAGGTTTCTTGAGGCTTGCGAGCTACAGTGCCTAGGGCGCTTTTGAGGAATCCTTGGTGTCATTACCAGAAAGAAATAGAAATAATTAAAATTCATCAATTTGGAAATATGTGACCTGAATGTTTCTAAAGATCATTCACGATACATCCATCAGCTGCAGAAAAAACCCCCAATATCACTGCCTTTCTTCGTGAAATGTTGTAAAAACAATTCTTAAGGGAAGTTCAGTAAGAAAAAAATAATAACTTTCACATTCTTAAGGTCTATAATTGCATCATCATAAATGGAACATTTTTAAAGGAAGAGTAGATCATTTGCAGCTGTCCAAAAAGTAGCTGACCATACTATTGTTGAAAAGCTTACTTGGTTTAAAGACAGTAATGGCACTAAACTCCCTGCGAAATAATTCCTTCTGGCAAGCTGTCATTTTAAAGAAAACAATAAAAAAGGCCATTTCCAAATATGCGTCAAGTGATGAAAGTTTGGAGATTTCCTTTAGTAGTTGGTTTGTAATTCAGCAAATACGTGAATGGGTGCGCGCAAGCGTTGATACGATGCACACGCGCGTGCGGTTACTGTGTTTTGTCCGTTCAGTACGTGACATCGCTTAGCTGCAATCGACTGAGTGATTTCTAGCACAATTCAAAACATGACTCGGCAAGTTTTCAATTGAAATCGAGTCCTAGAATAATATCGTTCAGCATTTACTGAGCTAAAAGTTCATCAGGTTAGTTGTTAAGCACCCTTCTTTAGATTTTGAGCACTTTTGTTGCTTCAAATGACGAAAACAAATGCACAAATGACGAATGATCTACCCTACCTTGAAAGACAAAACAATATAACAAAAAACTTGGAACATTCCAAGGAATTCCAAAATAAAAATTAGAATTGTCAAATATCCTATAACAAAATCACTCAAAGTTGGCACACTTTCTTTGAACTGTGGCAAATATTTTAATCAAGATGAAAGGGTAGTCAATGCAGACCAAACCCAGCTTGCTGTCACTGTAAATTCACGGAGGCCCCTATCAATGGCGAAAGCACTAAAAGCAAGCTATTGTACCAAACATCTGTCCCATGACAGACTATCTGAACAATAGCTAACACAATGCTTATGCCATTGAAGGGGGCCTCCATGCGTGTAGAGTATTAGCGGTTCCAGATTGGTCTTAATGCATTGAGAACTACATTGTACTTTTCTATGTGTTCAACAAAAAATTCCAAGTTTTAAGAAGGTAATTCGGGACAATTAAATGAATTATCGTCAATCAAATGTTCAGACTGGGTAGACAAAGTTGTCATAATCACAACAATTATTTTGGATCACACAAATGATGATTTCAGCCATCTGTATAATTTAATCCAAAGATAAATATCTATATTTTGTTTCCATTTCAAAACTAATAAATATGTACGGTGACCCTAATGATCTTTTACTCGATCTCATTGGATTTGGCCTCATTACAATTATTACGAACTTGATTTTTTGGCCTTTTTTTTACCTTTATGGTTAAAAAATATAAAGAGAAATACAGCACTTGAAATGCAACTTTACAATGCAAGTTAAAAACATGAAACTTCTCGCAAGACAAACACTTACATAAGAAATGTAAGGATTAAAACTTGAAAGTGGCTGAATAAAAAACAGAGGCTTGTTTTATGTCTTGGTTCCCGTGGATTTCCTTTTCATCTTTGTACCTGAGAAAGGAAAGAAAAATATGTTACTTGAGTCTTGTAAGATGTTTTTTTTGCATCGGGAGATGTTTATTTTAAAGGGACACTGAGTCCTGGGTAGGGAATTATTTTTTTCCCAAACAACATCGTATGGATGGTTGTTGAGCGCCCTCTACAATACTTTTATTATACGTACGCAGGAATATATTGCCATTATAGTTTGCTGTTGAGCTCTCCGATGGCTTAGCTGGATAATGACATTGTTTTGAGATCAGAGGGTGTGAGTTCGAAACCACATTTTCCCACTTTTTTTTTGGCCACAGAGGAGTAAGGGGGGGGGGGGGGGAGAAAGAGACAGAGGAGAAAGGGGGTGGGGAGGGAGTGGGGCTTGGGGTGGGAAAGGAGTGGGGGTGAGGGACGGAGTGGGGGGAGGGAAGGAGGGTGGGGGAGGCATGGGTGAGCATGGGCAGGGGTGTTGGGGGGGGGGGGGCATACGGTACGCATAAAAAAATTCGAACCCCCCCCCCCAAACTTGAAATTTGGTAGTCCTTTCTTCACAAGTGACCCTTTTTAGCTCGCGAGAACGTCTTTAATTGTGCGGCCATGGAAAGCGCCACCTATTGTCCGATAGTGTCTGATTTAAAAAAAACCACTGTCTACCTTTCAGCACCGATGCTACAGAAATTGGAAAAGAAACATCCAGTTCCCCCCCCCCCCCCCCCCCCATCGTGAGAACGTTGGCTAGGCCCTTGATTTCATGTAGCTGTATGGCATGTGGATAGATAAAGCGTGCACAGGTTCACTCACTTTTCATTGCTTCTTTGGAAGGAAGGGAAGCTCTCCGCTTCAGCGCAGCTTTGGGTGAGTTACTGTCATTGGTACTCTTAGCTTTCTTCAGCCGTTTTGCTTGTGTTGAAACTGAGCTCTCTTGTGATGATTTGGGTGTTCTGGCGACAGTTTTCTTGCTGATCCTTTCGGTCGGGCTGTCGTTTTTTGATTTAGTACTTTCCTGAAAAGAATTATATGACAAACGTTGTGTTGGACAGGACAATGTTTGTGTATAAATACAAAAAATGTTTTTAACAAATCGATTTCCATGCCCCCAAACTGCATGAAAATAGTGGGACAGCCTCTTTTTTGAAGTTGAAATTGTGTTTTCAGAGCGCATTTTATTATTTGCGATGTCCAAACAATGATCTGGCATTGCAGTGTCGCAATGATGTCCTTTCTGGCACTAAAAGTTCACAGGTTTTCTGAAAAACTGTGAATCTAAAAAGCAGCTCATTGCAACAGCTTACAAATGCATTAACCCTCCTATGTAGTCATACATTCTATGCCAAGTTGTCCTTGCAGTCAAAATCAATCACGTGACTGTTTTCAATAGTTAAAGAGCTCCCAGCCTACTTAAAGCAGGATTGACTGGCTGTGACTGTTTATGTAACTTGATACAGCTGTGCTTTGACTGTAGGCGATTGACAAGCCAGCTGTGCCTACCACTTGCCCGTTTTTGTCTGTTGACTGAATTTGACTAGTCAGAGTGCTTGCTTGAAATATGATCCGACTGTTGGTGACTAGCCTGTGTACAAGGCATGGCAGGGAAGATGATTGATTTTCTTTGCTGTGACTGTTCAGATGTCAGGAGGTTTAATAACGTTTGCATACTGATTGGTTCAATCAACAAAGATGCGCTTGACATATTCAGGGAAAGTGTGTGACAATAACGGTGAAAATGCAAGTTTAGACTTACCTGGGAGGAGCCAGAGATTACTTGGACGTCAGCCGTCTGTTTCTTGGCACTTTGCTTCCGGCCAGACGGCGTGTCCTTATCAAACATCTCCTCCAGTGCCTTGGGCTGCAGACGTGGCATCTTTGAGGACGTCTTCTGAGATTGGGAGGCAGGTAAGGAACCGGGATCCGTCTGGCTGTCCGCTGAGATGCCCGCGAGAATGCGATAGGTGTCTCCAAATGTTGCTGCCCGCTTGACCTTGGAGGGGCTCAAGGGCGACACCCCTTGCCGCTTCTCTGCCGACTTGGAGGCAGTCTTCTCGGCAGGGGTGGAGCTTTGTGCTCCCTTGGTGGGCTGTCGTGGGGTGCTGACTGCCAGGCTCCTAGTCTTAATGCCTCCTGTGATCGTCAGCGATTTACGCTTTGGTTGTTTCTTCTTCGATGCTGACCTGGTGACTAAGGGCTGCCCGAGATCTAAAGATGTAGTAGCGCACTCCTCGCGGATGCGCCTGATACCTTCAGAAACCGCATCCTGAACAGCTGGGGTCTTCTGCTCCGAAGTCTTTGAGGCCTGCTTGCTAGTCTTGGACTGTCTAAAGACTGGCGAGTGAGGTATAGCAGGCTCCTTGTCGCTGTCGCTAGAGGTAACCATCCGTTTTCTAACACTGCCTACTTTCCTTACCGACCCAGACAGCCTGCTGTGCTTCTTCAAACCCGGTGTTGTATCCTTCTCTTCTCTAGGTTGTGAAGCATGTGTAGATTCCTCTGTGTCTATGGGATGCTGGAGATCGGAAGATGCTGTTTCACATTCCTTCTGCATCTGTCTATTGTCTTTAGAAACTGCATCCTCAACAGAAGCAGTCATCTGCTCAGAAGTCTTAGAGGCCTGTTTGCCAGCCTTGGATCGTCTGAAGACTGGCGAGGGAAGTCTAGCAGGCTCTTCATCACTGTCGCTAGAGGTAATCATCCGTTTTCTCGCACTGCCTGTTTTCCTTGCCGACCTAGACAGCCTGTTCTGTTTCTTTGTAGCTGGCGCTGTATTCTTCTTTTCTCTAGGTTGTGAGGCATCTGCAGATTCCTCTGGGTTGGAGTCAGTGCCGACTCCTTGCAGCGAATCTAAGTTTTTGGCCCGTCGTGGAGTGGCAAACGTGCCATTATCAGTTTTAGTACTCCTTGTTTCATTGTCGGCTGAGCTGCAGGAATCAGGGACTACTTCAACATCATCAGTCTGGGAATGCTTTCCAGATTCGGTGCCTCGAGTTGGCTGGGAGTCACTGTCGCTGTCCTCGTTGTTCCGGCTGATGGGGGTGAAGAACCTCAGGAGGCTGGACTGACTGCGGGCGTTGCTCATGGACCTGAGATTCATGCCCTTGTGACCCCCATTGGACTCATCTGATACCTGCTCCTGTTTCTTGCTTGACGTCTTCCCAGATTCCTGGGAAGTGTGCAAACGTCTTGTCTGAGCTTTCAATGGGGAAGTCTCAGAACAAGACTGTCCTGAAGTATCCTTCCCTTTCCCGCTGTCATTTTCTTCATCTTGGTCATCATCATCAGCTTCGTTTTCAATGAGATGGATCTCATCTTCGTCATCCATTTCTTCTTCCTCCTCTCCCGCATCCTCCTCCGCTACTTCTCCATCCTCCTCAGCCTTATGACGTGAGGCCTTGACTTTAAAAGTAATCTCATCATCCACGTCGATGACAATGGACTCCCTGGTCGAGTCCAAGTTATCCTTGGCCGTGGTGAAGCTCTCTCGGTCTGACTCTGTTTCCTGCTGGTAGCCTTGGGTCTCTGGGATGACTATGACATCCTCTTCGTCTCCTTTTGAACTCAGCGACAGGGTCTTCTGACTTCTTGATTTCCCACGCCTCCTCTGAGTACTTCCTACGTCGCTTTTGGCCGCGCCACTGGCATCAGTCGCTTTCTGTGTCTCTGACTTCAACATGTACCGCTGCTCCTCAAAGCTCAGAGATTCGGGAACGGTTTGCTCCGAAGTGGTGCCACTCAAGTCCATGTCGACTTCATCGTAGTCGCTTTGATCATCACTATCCGACGGTGTGAGATTTCCATCACCGCCATTTCTGATGGAGCTGAATTTGCTCCTAGCTTTGGTGTTTGAGGGTTTCACAACTACATCTTCTTCATTCTCATCATCTTCACTAGTGTCCTGTCAAAGAGAATGACAACACTGAATTGATTAATATACCAGTCCATGCATATGTGTGTTCGTTACCCCCATTGTCTTATCAATTAAAATGATCAAACGTCATCCCTACAACGAAACCTTTTAAAGGGAATGTACATCATTTGCTTTTGCTGTAATTTTCAGAAATGAACTATTTGAGAGGTTAGTATAATAGATCAAATGTTGTTACACTGACATTTTTGAAGTTTTGTGTTCGAAAAGGTTGGAAAAACCAAGAAAAACAAAAATGTTCCAGTAGTCTGGTTCCCTGACTCCATAAAAGATAAAATGGATCAATATATAGATGATGGAAAATAGTAAGGCAGGGGAACCAGTCTAGCTGGCCTGCACCCGTTCATGAACATGTAACCAATAGCAAACAAAATTGGACTGAAAAAATGGTAAATTTGGAGCAGTAATTGAAAAATAGTTAGGTTTTTCCTACGCTGGTCGGCCGACCACCGTTGGAAATGTTTACAAAAATACCATTTTCTTGAAAATGACTTCACACCAGGTGCCATAATTTTACAAGATGCTTGAGACTGTCATTTACCAACATCCTAGAAAGGTGTTTCGTAAAAACTTGGTAGTTTTATTTTTCGATGTTTGCAAATGTTGTATATTCCCTTTTATGTCAGTTAAGATCAGTTAGCTCATTTATTTGTGGCTGAACAAACCAGAGACTCATGCAAATCAGCCATTAATTATTCGTAAGATGGAATCTGCGTTAGGATGATAAATTCAATATTAAAGGGTTTTGCCCTTATGAGTAGTTTGGTTGCAGTACCCGTTGCTGTGTCAGATTCCAACCAGCCAGCCGAACCCAGCAAGCTGCACGAGAGAGCAGGCCCCTTAGTCCCAACCAAGTAGTTCATGATTTTTCTCTCACAATCACTAGGGACAACACCGAGTATACAGTGTTTATAAAATACGACAGTGAAGGGCAAAACTCTATATTGAATGTATCCAGAAATTGCAAAAACAATTTTTCTGAAATCTAAATTCTTACAACTAACTACAAAAGTATTTTTTTCCCAAGAGATTTAGGATAGTCTCAGTTCACATACGCTTTAGGTTAAAGGAAATTTTAAAGCCCCGATGCAAATGTAATCACACACAAGACCAAGTCAGCTGTTCAGAGGCAATAACATGAAAAGCTCGCTTTACATAGTGGTATAACAGCAAAACAAGGAATTGGGATATAAACATTAACCCTCCTGCTGTTTGAACAGTCACAGACAGTCAAAAAAAAATCAATCCTCTTTCCCTGCCATGCCTTTTACACAGGCTAGTCACCAACAGTCAGATCATATTTCAAGCAAGCACTGTGACTAGTCAAATTCAGTCAACAGACAAAAGCAGGCAAGAAGTAACAAAAGCTGGCTTATCAATCACCTACGGTCAAAGCACAGCTGTATCAAGTTGCATAAACAGTCACAGCCAGTCAATCCTGATTTATGCAGGCTGGGAGCTCTTAACTGTTGACAACAGACACTTCATTGATTATGACTGAAAGGACAACTTGGCACAGAACGTATGTTTGCATAGGAGGGTTAATGATGGACTTGAAACAAGAGTACTGACCTCTTGGTCGATGCCCTCGATGAGCTCGTCAAGCCTGCTGTGTAATGCATCAACAGACTCCGGATCAGACTGGATAAAGAGAAAAACAACAACATCGAGGTTAAACAAGATATTTTGAATGACATCAGGACGTCATTGAAAATTGTCACTGACAATGACGTGCTAAGAGTTGGGGAAAGTGTGGGCTAAGACGTTGAGTCTGATCCATAAGCCTGAGCTGAGCTCTGAATGTGCAACACCATACAACTACCCTCATATCCCGAACAGGGCTGTAGGCTTGTGTGTGGTATTGGATTTTCAGAGTCCGCGGTATACCGTCAAAAAAATATGGCCGCATTCGGTATTATATCAGGTCTCTTTCTGGACATGAAATTGTTCCCTGATTTTTCTGGGTGATAGTTTGAACAATTTAGAGAGGTAGTTTCACGGAATGACTCACGTTGACTTGCTGAGCCAGGTCTTCATCTCGGCTGGTATCCTTAAAGAACAGTCCCTCTGTCTCTAGTATATCTGCCTGGTTGGCGTGGCTGTTGGTAACCGGCAGACTCTGATCGCCCCGGCCGTCTTTATAAGACAGGGTCTGGCTTTCGTTCTCTTCATCGCACACAATCTGAAATGTCGTCGCGAGAAATATGTACAATTGAGGGTAGGTAAATGAGGGAATAGATCAAGCATTATGGTCAACCCATAGAGCTGTATAACATTACTAGAACACTAACCCACCATAGACAATGTAGCCACACAGCGCATCAATATTTGCGAACAAACACTAGCAAGCCCGAAATTTTGTATGGCTATTTGCAAATCTGCATTTAAATTTGAAACGAATGCATAAATGAAGCCAATATGCGTAAAATATAGAGCTATGTTAAATTACTAGAGCGCTAACTCGATGTACAAAGTAATGCCTGATGGCCGCATCCATGTTTGTGCACAAACCTATGGAAAACTCGATATTTTGTGAGCTTTTGTACGGCTATTTGCATATCTGCGTTTGTATTTCATACCGGTGCGTCATTGAAGCCGATACGCCCAAAACCGAAACGCACGATCAGCAAATGAGCGTTTCTTTTTGCTCTACACAACAGCGCAACGTGTGCGCGTCCCTCCGCTTCAGATGCTTTTTTGAACCATCATGACACGCTTAAGTTGTTTGCGTAAGTACTTGCGCGTTGCATTTAGAGTACACTTTTAAAATTCAATCCATCTATTTTGATTTGTGTTCTACAAACACGCACATAATTTCAAAATGTCTGCGCCCAGAGCGGCTTCAAAGCGTCTCAGCACGCAAGAATGAAGAGTTAGCGCTCTAGTAATTTAATATAGCTCTATGGTGTAAAACCACAATTTGTAAATGTGCGCATATGCGGCCTCTTTTGTTGCACTCTTGTATCGCAAATAGAACATACAGGAATGAGAAGTTAACGTGTCATAACATGAACATAGTGACAACACTAGAGGGCGCTATTGGCGATACTTACATCCAGCAACTTGTCCAGGTAGTCTCTGGACGCTTGCTCAGTCAGATACTTGACCAGCAGGGACGCAGTGCTCTTGACCGAGTCGGGCAGGCTACTGTAGGCATCGGGGGCCACGCTGTACAGCCACTGGAGAAATTCTATGGACGGCTCGGCCGTCGCAGCAACCTTCGCACGAATGATAATCATAATTACCACAATAATGTAATAATTTGGAGCTTATTGACTCGAGGCACAATATGCCCTTGGGAGGGAAATTCAAATGCACCGCCTGTCGCGCCTGAACCAGTACGAGCACGCTGTGTGACTCTCCCACTCCGGCTTTGAGAGTGGTCAGAGAGCACCATCTACTGTTCGAGCACACTTGTGTTCTTGGGCAAGACACTTGACACAAATGTCTCAAAAAGTTTCACAATTATCATTTTTTTCTTGAAAATCAATCAAATTTAATACCTGAATGAAAGAGCATGTTTTTCCACTCATCTGAAAAAAAAAAAGAATTACTGAAATTGTACATCAGTGATCATCCCATCTTTCCATCCAATTCAGGAGAAAAATTGTCAAAGTAAGTGCTGGGGTCACATATATATGACTTCAAGCTTTGCATGGCGGATGAGATAAAGTAGAAAGATTGCGAGTAACACCATGTGGAAAGTAATCTCTCCTTGGAAGAAGTGTGGTTCTGAAAATAGTTCTCTGCTGGGGTCCCATAATTTATAACGAAAACTTGAAAGTAAGTTAAAATGCTAGTGAAAAAGTCAACAAAATACCAATGTCACAAGTTGCTGTACTAAAACCAAGAAATTGGACTCGATGAAATCGAACCCAGTTTTTGAGCTACATTTGACTTTAGGGTGTAATATTTCTATGTAAGAGACAAACAAAGCCTACTAACATTTGAGATATCCCGTAAGACGTCTTGAACGGCTGGCTCTGTCTGCTCTCGGAGAACCTGCCGGCTGAACCGGACAGCGCAGACGTACTTGATGAAGGCCTCGTTGGTCATGACGCTAGGTTTGGCCATCAGCATCTGCCTATTGGTGCAAAGAAGGTTACGGAGGGCAAAAACGGAGTTAGATTAACATGCATACCGTCAAACTTAAAAATGTGAACAATGTACGAATTGCCTGGTTTTGTATCTAGGCTAAGAGAGTTGCTTTGAAGATGATTTGAAGATGCCTATGATCATTTACTTTTCGTGAATTAATTTTTTTGGAAGCAACAAAATTGTTCAAAATCTACAGTAGGGTTCATAACAGCTAAACTCAAGAAGTTGTAGCTCAGTGGATACTCAACGTTTTGAGAAAACAGAGAAAACGTCTACACAATTTTTGGGTCTTGTAACTTGATAAAAAGCCTAGGGGGCCAGGGTTTACACAAGGAAGAATTTACTTGTAAATAGGCATCATGAAACGGCAGTCCCGGGCCGACGGCTGAGTGACTTGAAGAAGAAGGTTGAGTTGTTGGATTGGCGACTGACCAATGAGGAGGAGGATCTTAGACAAGGTGCTTCTGCCTTCGGCCTCTGCAGTGTCAGGATTATTTCTACAAGAAAGGCAATAAGGGTAATAATCGGGTACAGAACTCCAAGTTTTTGGTCTAGAAGAGTGGTATGGATCAAATTAGACTCGGTCCAAGACTGACTTTGGATTGTATTCCCCTAAAACAGCAGTTCACTATCATGAAGAAGAATCAAATTTAGCCTTGGGAACGTCGGCAGTGCTACCCAGAAAATTCTGCACATACCTTGTTTGTGCATACCTTGTTTGTGCATGCCTTGTTCGTACATTGATACAACGCGTGTGAGATATGCCTGGAATTTTCCGGTGTTAAGCGTTGCCAAAGGTGGCTGGTTCAAATTATATATAAGTGGGTACTGCAACCAAACTATTCAACAAGACATCAGTCTCGGTTTTTCGTTTAGAATAAGAAAAAGGCACATTCAAATTTTGAGGTGTTGCTGAATATCAGTCCGTTTACCTTGATAAGACAATGCTGATGTCCACGTAGATGGATAAAATGGCTGCCATCAAGTCTTCAAAGTTGGTCAAGGATTGGGACTGGGGATACCAAGACGGTTTGGGGACAAAGAGAGTAATGAGAGATCAATTATACATACGTTATTTTAATGATAGCAACAAGGAAGTTTGCTGAAGTGATTGCATAATATGATTATAACTAGCAAGTTATTTTTTTTACTCGCCAAAACTGTTTCCAGTGCACTTGGAATTATATTAAAACCTACATATGTCTGGTTTAAAAGACAGAGTCTAAAATGTTAAACTTGGTGGCAGGATTTTAAACCTGGCGGCAGGATTTTAAAGCCTGGTGGCACCTTTTGAAGCATGGCTGGGCGCCAGGATTGTTTTACAGGTTGGAGAACTTTGCAGATAGCTAACAAGCGTGACAGCTAACTTACTGAGTACCTAACTAGATTGACAAGGTAGCACTTGAAAAGACTAACTAGAGTGAAAATGTACATAAGCTTATGCATACTTTCACTCTAGTTAGTCATTTAAAGTGCTAGCTTACTTTTATAAATGTGATTTTGCCTGACTAACGTGGCTGCCCACCAGTCTTGAGTCTTCTTCAGTGCTGGACTTCCTATAGCAGCTCTCTGAGCTATTAAACTGGAAGGGTGACTGTGACCTCACAGTCGGTGCGGTGCAAACAAATATGGTGCTGTACATCAAAACTTAGGTGCGAGTAAAAATCATCAAGCAGACTGGTTTAGAGAGTCCTCAGGCTGGCCGGTGGCGACACAGCACTGATGGCGTTTAGTGCCACTTTTAGATTGACAAGGTGGACAGAAAACTAACTGGATTTAACTGCATGTAGCTGGATAGCTCAGTGGCTGGTAAGCTAACCAGCTGGTAAGCTATAACCAAAACTAGCTGGATCCAGCTGGAAAGTTACAGTAAGTAGCTGGATTTTTAACTAATCATCTACAGGTAGTCAGTTTCAGTCTAATGCAGGTAAGAGAAAGTCAGTTTCAGGTCAAATTGCTTTGAATTAACAGTCCCAATGCTTTCCCGCAACTGTACCTGCTTGTCTCGTTTCTGCCCGTGGAATTCGTGCTGCATCTTGGCCCACTGCAAGAAGTTCAGTATAAACCCTTGCAACTCCATCAACCTATGAGGGAAAATTTCTAATAATTATTAGTTCAAACTTCCTGTGAATTTTCTCAGCAAAGTGCATTCGTTATTAGATAACGGCAGACGTCACAATAAGACGTCCACTGTATAAACCGACTTTTACAAGTACTGTCAAATTTTGTGTGTGAGGGGAAGAGGTTTAGGGCCAGGGGTGTTGTAGGGGAAGCTTTAGGGGTGGGTGGGTGGGGGGTTGGGGTATAGTTGGGATGTGGGGGAAGACAACAGAGGACAGAAAACAAAGAGGAATTTAAAAAAAACTTTAAGTTCTTTACCTGCTAGAATCTTTGGTTTCAAGAACTTTGTCTGCCTCCAAAATGACTCCACTGCAGAAAAAAAATTCAAAGGTGATATCCAACGTTTACATGGTGGCAACTGGAGGATTTTGAAGGTTTGAGGGTGGTTTCTAGCCAAAAGGGCCTAGGGGGTTAGAACCCTAACCCTCTAGGCCTTTTTACTACGAACCATCCTCAATCCTCCAAAATGTTGCACTTATGCTCAAATGAAAGATACCCAGCGCCTCAATCCTTCAAAATCCTCCACCAACCCTGCCTTTTAAAAATGCATTCAGCCTCAATCCTCCAAAATCCTCTTCTTCAAACACCGTTCATCCTCAATCCTCCAAAATCCTTATGTGCTTCAATAACATTCATCCTGAATCCGATCCTCATGTTTCTTAAACACCATTCACCCTCCAAAACCGCCAGGAGGATTTTGGAGGATTGAGGTGAATTAGGGTTAAGTCTCATCTTGGTCCAAACACTTGAAACCCAACCCATTGTGTAGACCACATGCAAGAAAAGACGTACTGAATTGATTGAATAGAATTGTGTGGGACGAGCTTTCCTAGGCTGGCTTAGTCTTGTCGTACTAACCTCAGGCAGTCCGCCATTGTGCGGATCAACACCTTGGCATCTGACGTGCCAAGACCGGCCAGAACTTCCTGCTGCAGCAGGCCCATTGTGTCTGATGTTGTTCTCAGCTGAAAACAACAAGAAGACAAAAAATGATGAAAAAATGTCAGGGAATCAGGTCGGTGCAGTGGTTTCTTCCACATTTTCAACTGGGTTCGAATCCCACTCAGGCTGATCAGTAGACTGCATTCAGTCCCCCCATTACTCTAAACGTTTCCCTAGAATATCTGTCTAGAAATCTCCTCCCATCTCTGTACGTGATCATTTCTTAAGGCTTCCGAGCAACTGAGGAATCAATGGTTTCATCGTCACAGAAATGAAATAAAGAAAGAAAGAAATAGACAATCAACTCTGTCATTTCAACACCGTATCAGTTTGTTCTCCTCAGGCATGCCACTGTAAAGTCGCACACAAAAAAGAGGAAATTCCACCATTAAGAAGAATTTGTACAACGTTTTTTTTATTTTTAAAAGCAGATATAGGAATAAAAGAAGAGGAAATCAGTTGATGCGAGAAAAAAACTTGCATGGCGTTTTCACACTTCATTGATTTTTTTTCAAGTCAGGTAATATTTAACCCTTATTTAATATGATTTTTCTTACAACATAGGGAGTAAGAGATAATGTACAAAGGTTACCAAAAGTAATAGGCTGCTTACTTTGTCATCTGGTTGAAGTGAATGCAGGAACTCGCTGAAACTGTTGGAACTGCAGAGGCAGGCATAGGCATGGGGTGCTGTAACCAGAGAGAACACCATCTATTCATGATTGACATTTCACTTTGAAGTCCATGTTAAAGTTTTCGTTTATATTTCAGTTGAGTGTGCAACTAATGGATTAACTTCATGATGATTGACGAGTATTAAAAAATCAGAATGAAATTCTGAATGATAATTTACCTTGCTTCCTACTTGGGTTTATAGGTTAGGCGAGGAGTTGTAATTGAGCCAATCTCAAGTCCTCAGAGGTCAATGAAATAGACAAACCATAAGCAAGGTCACAAGTAACAGGGGATGAATGACAAAGGAATGCTGTTCTCACCATCCATTTGAATAGCTTGTTACTCAATATGAGAATGGTTAACTTGAATAACCTCCGACGACTTCATTAGACACCCTAGCCTTGACCTGGGCCCAATTTGGCGGCGTTGCTAAGCACAACAAATTTGCTTAGCACTAAAGTGTCTGGCTTATAAAACAGGTTACCAGCCAAAATTTACTTGCAAAGCAAACAACAGCTGAATACTAATCACGAGCAATATACATCACATGGAGTTTTGGAAGGTAACCTACTTTTATAAGCCAGACTTTTTTGGGGCTGTGCAAATTTGTGTGCTTAGCAGCGCCGTGAAATTGGCCCTAGCCCTTGGGCCACATCTTACCCAGCCTCTGCCTTTCCTCCGAGGGAAGTTGGGCGAGCGATTCTAGGACTCTGCTCTTCGCGTCTTTTGCACAAACATTGTATGCAAACGACGAGCTCTGACTGGCCGAGGCGCCATCCGGCTCATGTTGGCTTGTAACGTCCATCTTGCTGACAGATTGTGTTGCCATGGCAACCGTATCGTCTGTCCTTTCTTCATCGCTTCCATCATCCTTGGCAGCAGAGTCACTCGAGTGGGCGTTTGGACTGCATTTCCGAGGCGGCTTCTTGCTTCTTTTCGGGCTGGATGGAGCACGAGCTTCTTCTCGTCTCATCTGTGATGATCTCAGATCATTTGTGACCAAGTCTTTGTCGTCCTGACGCATTGTAGGCTCACCACTTTCATGTTGTACCTTCTGGCCCTTATTAATGCTTTTCGTGTTTCCACTTCTTCCATTTTTCGTCAACCTGAAAAAGATATTAAAAATTTTCCTGAAATTTCCCTGAAATTGTATTTGGTGTTATATTTGGGGAGGGAAAGAAGGAAACGCCACTTGCAATCTGAGGCAACTTACGCTTCTAGCTTTCTTGAGTACGTCGCTGCTTTCCCTTGTAGTTCAGACTTTAGTGGACTTTTAGGCAGGTCGTTCAAGGCATTCCTGAATGTTTGTTTGACTGTAGCAATGTCAGTAGGGACTGCAACAAAAAAGGAGGGAAAATTGTTAAAAGTAAATTCCAAACAATGCTTAAAACTTAAATGACACGAGTGACTTTTACTCACTAACGTGACATTCACCAAGCCTCTGATGTCACATCACAATACTTTTTAAAATACATGTATAACTTAACAAACAAAAGAAGTATATCTTTTCAGTTTTAAATTCATTCAAAAAAAGTTTGACGAAAAAAATCGATTAACAAAAATATTTAGTAACATTTTCAGATGAGCGATACAAGCTAGCGTTGTAAACTTGCTTGAGCCGAGTATAAAGGGCCTATAATCGTGATCACTTTGAAGACTAAAGTAAACCTGTTTTTTTTAGCTAGCGTTTCCAGTTCTACAAAATTGGCCATCGTGAGATCAATGTCAATGAATGTTGTCAGGTGAATCTACGCTTTTATTTTCGTTCTAGCTTTTTTAAAATTAGTTCACTTTTCACCCAAATATAACGCATTGTAATAATTAATAGCAAGTACATTCATGACATTACTGCATACGGCATGTACGGAGGTCACTCAGCAGATGTGTTTTTAATACTTTGTAAATTGTAGTGGCTATCCTTACAGCAGCAGTATTAAAAAACAATTTATTTATACTCCTTTTTTACAGCATTGCAAATACACCATGTGAATCTAAAACTGCCCCTCCAATGTCCAGAGAGCGCTTCAGTAGCTTGACTGGATAAACACGTCATTGGACTACTGACTGCCGAAGGTCCCGGGATCGAATCCGCACTAGGCCTAGAATTTTAATTTTTTAATTCCCTCTTTTCTGTTCTTTTCAATAGTTTTTTTTTTTACTTTTAAGTTTTAAGTTTTATCATCATATTAATAATAATATAATATTAATGATATGTTTTTAATCAAATCTTAATTTTTTCACTGATCATTCATCATGTATTGTTACATTGATGTACATGTACCAACTTGAACTTGAACTAGGCCTAGTTTCATTTTTTCTTGGTAGTGTATATTTTGCCGGAGGTAACGCCGGCAAACTATTGTTTACTAAAGGTTTGCCGGCGGCAATCCATATCAACAGAGGGCGCTGTACTCTTTAAGATAGGGCTGAATTATAACATGTATTAAATTCCCACCAAAGTTGTGTAGCACAGTCGGTGCAGTGGTTAAGCAATAGCTCTAGTGAGTGGGATGTCCTGAGTTCGAATCCTGACCCCCGCCACAATTTTAAGTTTTTTTTTTCCAATCCCCATATAAATAAGAACAGATAGTGGATATTTTGCCGGAGGTAATGACGGCAAACTAACAATTACTAAAGGTTTGCCGGCGGCAATCCATATCAACAGAGGGCGCTGTACTCTTTAAAATAGGGCTGAATTATAAGATGTATTAAATTCCCACCAAAAGTTGTGTAGCACGTTTGGTGTAATGGTTAAGCAAAGGCTCTGGTAAGCGGGATGACTCGCGTTCGATTCCGACCGCACCACATTTTAAAGTTTTTTTTTCTCATCCCCAAATAAATAAGAATATATTCTTCTTTTATTATTTTAACATGTCTCAAACATTTTTTGCAGAGTATTACATTTTCTTTTTCAGATTTGTGGCTCTGGAGGATTTTTTTAAAAGGGAAATAAAGTCCGAAATTATAAAATGGTCTGAATCCCATCTTGTGAATACGAGGTAACAACGATAATTTTGGCATGGAGCCAGACTAAAACTTGTCACCGGAAAATGTTGAAGTACAAAAAAACCAGCAACTGCGCATGTTCAGTGCATATCCGGCAAACTAACGTTTACTAAAGGTTTGCCGTCTCCGGCAAAATATACACTGCCATAAGAATATTCTTCTTTTATTATTTTAACATGTCTCAAACATTTTTTGCAGAGTATTACATTTTCTTTTTCAGATTTGTGGCTCTGGAGGATTTTTTTAAAAGGGAAATAAAGTCCGAAATTATAAAATGGTCTGAATCCCATCTTGTGAATACGAGGTAACAACGATAATTTTGGCATGGAGCCAGACTAAAACTTGTCACCGGAAAATGTTGAAGTACAAAAAAACCAGTAACTGCGCATGTTCAGTGCATATCCGGCAAACTAACGTTTACTAAAGGTTTGCCGTCTCCGGCAAAATATACACTGCCATAAGAATATTCTTCTTTTATTATTTTAATATGTCTCAAACATTTTATTGCAGAGTATTACTTTTTCTTTTACTTTTTCTTTTTCAGATTTGTGGCTCTGGAGGATTTTTTTTAAAGGGAAATAAAGTCCGAAATTATAAAATGGTCTGATTCCCATCTTGTTAATACAAAAATACAACGATAATATTGGCATGGAGCCAGACTAAAATTTGTCACCAGAAAATGTTGAAGTACAACAAAACAGTAACTGCGCATGTTCAGTGCATATCCGGCAAACTAACGTTTACTGAAGGTTTGCCGTCTCCGGCAAAATATCCACTGCCTTTTTTCTTAGTGATCCGTGGCTTTGGAGCCAAAGATCCTGACGGTGAACTGAATATTGTAATGTGACAGGTCGGGAAAACTGAACCAGACGGTCGGCCACTGCCATGCCTGGTGCAACGGGCTCTGGCTGCCATGCGTTAACATCAGTGACATGTCATGCACATTGTCATGCGTGTCATGGCCGGCATGCGCATGGGGATATGGCAATGGCCGCCCGACCATGCCGACCGCCGGGCCGGGGTAATCCCCCAAATAGGTAGGCCTGGCCTACCTCTTGATTGTTCATGTTCCTTTTCGTTGAGCTTTTTGGCAAGCAAACGAACAAAATGATTCGCCTTCTTTTCCATAACGACGTCGTTGTCATTTCAATCGCTCCGTCACACTCCAAAGGACACAATTCATTTGGGACGAATGTCCCACGTGCACACAACGTGCAGTTTATGTGATTTTAATTTTCCTCGTCTTGCGGGCGTATTGCACCTGTACGAGACGTGCAATTTTACAATGATATTGCAAACTTTTTCTTGGGTACCAGTCTAAGCCTCGAAAATAGAAACACGTCCCTGTTCAGGATGCTTTGAAAGAGACAATCCTATTGGTGAATATACTATACACTATCCTTACAGTATTGGCGTAACCGTCTCAAAATAAGCATAAGATTTGTTTCAAAAATAATCTCGATTCAATGAATTTTAGTGAAAAGAAATTCATGTAAATTATTTTTTCACATAAAAAAGAATCTAAGGAGAGAAGATGTGTGCTTTATTTTTTACGAGTTTGTTCAAAAGAATTGGAATAGAATGAGATATTTAATGCATCGAGTACTCAGGTGGCGTTTTACTACATCGTTCTACGAACCAATCAAATACTCCGTTGTATAGATTTTAGGATACTGCACATGGAGAATTGCTACACTATTTTAATCACGATTATACTATAAATTGTCATCTTAAAATTGTTATAATTACATAAAATCTGCCGGAGTCAGTATTTATAAAATTATTTTGAATTAACAAATATTTTTATTGGAAATCTTGCTCAAAAAGATTATCTTTTTTTGACGGTAAATTCTTCACCTATAATAAATTACTGATCGGGACTAGATTGCATCATGGGTAATTCCCAATGTTATGGACACAAAAAAGTGGAAATTTTGCTTCACAAGTCCTTCAAATAATGTGCGACTTCTGACCGAAACAACCTCACAATGGCTGCAGATTTTATTCTTAACAATCTAACACAGTAGTGCTTTCATGCCAAGATGACAAATGGATGAATTCCCGTCCCAGCGCGGTAAACAAATCATGTCAACAAGTGAGTGCCAGAACTGGACCGAGTTTTGTGTGCTTTCCAATGGGAAGGCAGACCTGCATTGAGTTGAATGGAGGCTGGGTTGTTTACATTGAAACTTATTCGAATACATTCAAACTAATATAATGTCACTTTATTTCTCTCGCTCTTTCCACTTGCAGATTTCAACGGTGTGACAGACGCGCACAATCCTGGACCTGGGGGCTCCGGCGAGAGGAAATGGAAGAGTTACAAACTTCTGATTGACCCGATTTTGAAGAAGGGCCAGCAGAAATTGTACCGCTATGATGGGGTTGCGCCAGGGCCATCGGTAAGGGTGACATCAAGCCGTGGCCCACGACTGCAAGAGAGGATGATTGCCTTATTATCTGATCTTTTGCCCCGGAAGTTTTATCAAGAACTTTGTTTTTGTTTTTTGACGACTTCAGAACCACCGAACATGCCAAAGCCACTGTCAAAGTTTCCTTTAATTAACACATTTTCTGAATTCTGATCAAACAGTCAAATTTTTAAAAAAGTCAAACTGGCAAACAGGAACAGAAAAATGTTGCACTTGCAACCTGTCGCCATTTCAGCAGTTGTGTACAAAGTCTATGGCGAGTCAAGGACATTTTCTTAATATTTCCTAACAAAATTGGAAATGTTTCTCAGTCCCAGATTCATGTCTTATCATCATTTTTTGCAATGACTGACCTTCATTGAGATGATATATGAAGAAAATAGTGGCGTCAGGTTGCAACATTTTTTCCTAGGGAACACTTCAACAGCACTATCTCATGAAATAATGTCAAAAGATTGACTTAAAAATCAAACTCACGGATGTGATGGAATTTCCTCATTTTTTTGTAAATTCCCAGTTGAATGCCTGGTAAATGCTTTAGTATTTTCCTTGCAAAATTTGACTTTTTAGGACATGTTATCGCTTTCTCATGGATAGGTCACTGCAGGGAAAAATTAGTGATGTCCATGTATGAAATTTTTCCCTTTCTTTATCACCGACCTATACTTGTGGTTTGGACGGTCATGGATTACAAATATGAGAACTGAAACTCTAATCAATTTTTTTCTACAAATTGGGACAAATCATAAAAATATACATTGTCATTTCTTCAAGTCTGGTTTAAGATTTGGTAGAAATTGGAAAGAAACATTTTTCTCTCATACTGATCTGTGTGAAGACCCGTAGAACACAATTCCTAATTCATCAGATAACATTTACAGTACTTTAGAGATGTTTTCAAGGTTTCTGGATGACCTGACGGGAAGAAAGAAAGTTTTTATCGTGTAACCCTGCTATGCCCAGTGCAGTTGGCAGAGAATTATCAGACCTTTCAAAACATTTTAAATTTGCCTGACTAAAAGGGTTTTGAAAGGTGAAATAGTGCTGGAACTTTGAAACTTTTCGAAAGGTTTCGGAAGGTGAAGCAACTCTGTGGGCAAATTCAGTAAGTTGCCTTTCAATACCTTTCGAAAGGAATTGAAAGGTGTGGTAGTGCAGTAACAATAAATTCTGGACGATTTTAAAAGGTCCTGCATTTTTTGTCCTCCAATTTGCCAGAACCCAGATTTTGAGGGGTTTTGAATGGTCAAACCACAGGAGAGTTACATCACACTCTTATATTACAACTGTATAGTTTTTGAAATAACTTCCAAAATCTGGAAAAGAAAGTAGGCTTTCTTAGACCTGTTAAAATACTAGAAGTAAAAGTATTCTTCGCTGAAAAGGTATACCTTTTTTTTTTTAAGATTTACTTTGTTAAGAGAACTTCTGGTTTAATCTTGGTAATTTTCTTGCTTACTTTGATGCAGGGTGCTGACTTCTCTGTCAAAATTGTACGAGACCCCAGGTCAAGGTTGTCACGATTTTGGAAAGGTCGGGAAAAGTATGACCTTCCTGTCCCCAAATTTAAGGTATGTATCGCTGTAATAGCAGTTAATATTCACCTTTGACCCTTCTTCTCTCAATGTGTTTATTGAGAGCAAGCTCTAGTCCCCCCCCCCCCATAAACAAACAAATTGTACTAGCTCATCCCATCCCATCACGGACACTCCCCCCCCCCCCCTCCCAACCCAGCACCTCAAAAAGGAGAAATCTTCACCAGATAGTATTTTGTAACTGGGCCAAATTTTCCTAGTATGTGTCTGAAATGTCTTGACATTTCCCATTTTTAAATTTAAAAAAATGACCAAAAACCCCTGACATTTATTCTGCTCTCCCCTGGAAGTGTTGACAAAAATCAACAAATAAATCACATTCTCAAAAATGAAATCTGTCAAGTTGGGAGAAGAAAATTATAAACCAGAAGATGGGGACAAAGTCAAGAATTTGTAAACCTCCAATATGTGCATCCGCCTTTTTTATGACGCAGTTTTAATTGAACGCAGTTTTAATTGAATATGACTAATAGTCATATTCAATTAAAACTGCGTTATGGAGTTGTTACGCCCCAACTATAGCAACATTCCAACTATAGTTGGGATGATCCCAACTATAGTTTGGATGATCCTAACTATAGGCAGGGTCGTCCCAACTATCATTTGGGCCATTGCTATAGTTGGGGCGTAACAGAGTTAGCAGATTTGACAGTTATGTATCTCTGGGCTAAGTTTAATAGACAACAAAGTTCTTACAAAACCAACTGGAGCATTTTGAAGTATCTGGTCAGTTAAGGGTTTGTCGGTGCTTGTCACCCAATAAGTAATCCTTGTATCCTGTTACTGTCAATGCATCCAGTCTGACAAATACTACGTCGGGGAGCTGCCCCCGAAGCAATGCACCATCACCAACCTCAACGACAACGTGCGGGAGGCCTTCCTGCGCAACATGTGCGAGAAGTTTGGCACCGTGGAGGACATCAACATCTGCTGCCACCCTAAGACCCGCAAGCACCTGGGGCTGGCCAGCGTGACGTTCAGCACCACGCGGGCCGCCAAGCAGGCCGTGCTGGAGCTGAACAGGACCTCCGTCATGGGCAAGATCATCATTGTCCAGATTGATGCTGGAGGTAGGACTATGCCTTTTTTTTGGGGGGGGGGGTGTTTAGTGGTTGGCCTCAGCAGGTCCGTCGCAAGCCCAGAAGGGGCCAGAGTACCAACTAGGGGGGCCTACTACCATTAAAATAAAAAATACACGTGTATGGCTTTTGCCGTTGGGGAGAGGCAGTTGCTCGGCAAAGGGGGCCCGGCCCCACCAGGCTCCCCCCCCCCTCCTCCTTGGTGACGTGCCTGGGCCTCAGTGTGGCCTTGGTACAAGGACTGGATTTTATTTTCTCAAATACAGCCAGGCTTTGACAAGCTTAGGGAAGCCACTGCATTAGTAGTGATCACTTTCAACAAAATGAATCAAATCCAGTTGCGGGAGCTCGCTTTGGCAGCGCTACCCAGACAATTCTAAGCATACCTCACATGTGCTGCATTGAAGCTAATGGTAGTATATTCATAGTGTTAAAGTTATAAACATATTTGAGGAAACTACTTTAGGAGTATCCATGCACAATTTGAGGTATGGAGTGCCATTTAGTCATGTGGTAGAATTGCTTGCAGTTTGGTCAATGAGACCTGGCCAAGAGACAAAATATTTCTAAAATTATATTTGCAGATATGGCCTTTAATTTTATATCACACAAAAAGGTGGAGTTCAAGGACAAAGTTCATACTCAACACTTTTAATCATTCCTTGGTAGTGAAACTCTAGGGTGAAAAAGTGGGTTTTCAACTTGTGGTCCATTTTTCATGCTTTCGTGATTTCCACATGACTGAACAAACAATGTGGTACTGGGTAGAGCCAAGTCAATAAAGAGAATATTGAAAGGCTTATATGAAAATGGAATTTAGTTAAACAGTTTAATGTACGGATGTATTCTACTTTTTTCAATACTTCTTATTTTTTTTTGTCACAGGCACTGAATGTGAGAGGATCTTTGATTGCCTCGTCAACAGCTCCACCCCAAGCAGCTCCAGCTCCACGCCTCGCGACCCCCGACATGGCCTGGCCACCCCAGACACGCCCACCCCACGCAGCGCCGGGGCCGGGGACCCCAGAAGACTCTCCTTGGAAAGCAAGACCCCTTTAACGTCGGAAGGCACCCCACTGAGCCTGCCCGATCACCCGTTTGCATTCCCAGAGCCACCCCCGGTCGGTTACCCAATGGGGTCGGACCAAGGGTTCCCTGTACCCCCAAGGCCATCCACAACCCCAGGGCTGAGCGGAAACTTTGCGGGTATGAACATGCAGGACTACGGGGGCAATCCCCCAGGACCTTTTCCTCAGGATTTCAACCGGGGCGGCATGGAGCAGTACCCGCCCCACAGCGGTAACTTCATGCCTCCGGAGCACCATGGGATGTTTCCGAGGCCGCCTCTGGAACAGAGGGGCCTCCCGCCGGGCTTTCAGGACCCGAACACCAACATGCCGTACCCCCCACAGATGCCGCCCCTGCACAGTATGCCAATGCAGCCCGGCTTCCATCCAGGACATCCCAACACAAACTACAACATGTATCACGACAGCCAGGCTTGGGATCACCAGAACTATGGGCAACAGGGGACCGGGGACGGCTATGGATATTCAAATCAGCAGCAAGATGCACAGTTGGGGTACGGGAACCAGGGACAGCCGGGTCAATGGGAACATCAGTTCAACAGGAGTAGCTCCCATCAAGACTTTCAAGCACACAAGCGTCAAGACTCTGACTCGTCCTACTCACATGGGAGCTATGCCGAAAGGGATCAGCCCAGAGACGATTTCTCGGATCGGAGGAGCAAAACAAAATCTAGGAACCACCAAAGGGACTTGCCTGCCTCGGCCGATGAGGACAGCAACACAGCAGACTCCAAACTTGCCACGGAGAGGGCAGCCGCCACAGCCGTCCAAGACAAGGAGGTGAAACCGCCAGCAACAGAAGAGGAAGAAGATGAAGCCGCATCCGATACAGGCGAGCTAAACATGAGTCTGGACTCGCGCATCGAGGCGCTCTTACAGCGCCAATCCGGAATGGGGTTCGGCTTTGAGTTGGACTCCTCATTGAATTCTGGCCAAGACAGTACTAGCAACAATGTTGGGGGCGAGTTCAGCCCCTGCCCGTCGCCCATGGCAGGGGACTCCCCACTCCTGGACGAGGGAAGCCAAACAACCACCTTACAGGAGAGCAGCAGGGAACATTCCCCCGCACCCCACCCCAGGTATGACAGTGTCGTCAGCAAACACTGGGAAACCCAAGACACATCCAAATCGCACAAATCACGCGTCGACAAGCTGCATTTGGAGCGGCAGCTCGGCCACGCTAGTTACAAGAGGCTGCAGCATTCCCGGGAGGGCAGCACGACAGACGGATTCGCAGCGGATGATTCCTGTAGCAGAGACTCGATAACGTCTACACCTGAAATTCGAGACATGGACAAAGCTTCCACCATCCCATCGGGGGCTTCGACACCGACGGTGAATGAAAACACGAGCAACCTGAGCATAGGCTCCCTGATCAACAGGGGTCTGTCCAACCTCCGTAACATCACCGATCAGGTACCGTCACCAGCAATCAGTGCAAGTCCCTTTGTAGAACACCAAGGAAGTATAGATGACAGCTTGGGATCTACACCTGTTGAATCAGAACCGCAGACAAGTAGACTTCTCTCTGATACTCAGACTGAAAAGCAGGTAACTTAATCTATTGCAGTTTTCATTCAATAGATTTGTATGGTACAGGTTAGGGTAAGGTCTGTTTGTAGAAATCTGCTCCAAAGATCGAAAAGTTAATGCAAAATGTTCCTACTACCAGTTTCATGGGCTTGCATCTCACAGATGAGATATATCACCCTTATGATAATCAGTTAAGGCAAGCTGTGGAGGCTGCATTGTAAAATGCCTCTTGCGCACTGTATTCAAACTAATACACGCAGGCGAAATCTGCTCCACCTTTCCTGGGTAGCACTACCGAAGTTCCCAATTTAGTATTTTGATTTATCTTGTTTTATAACAACTTTGTCTCTCATATGGTCAGAATCTTTGTGAATGCTGGATGTCCCATCAAAATAACCCCGCTAGCCTGTATTACATATCTTGGTGTTTTTCTTGTGCAGGTCCAGATTGAGATAGCCGATGCCTTGGCGTCGCGGAATTTGCCAGGAGGTTCCCTTTCAGATATGGACGTAGACGATGACCGCATGAGCATGTCGTCCATCAGTAGCGGGGAAGACACTAAACTAGAGGTCAACGTTCCCATCCCCCAACCAAATGAATCCCGGACCTACGGACCCCCCATGCCCCCGCCTCCAGCTCCCCCCGGACTGTCGAGCCAAAGCTCGGCCCGGTACCAGTGGCCTGGAGTGTCACTGCCTGGCTACAGTGGACCGTTCTCGTCAACTGGTCCGTCCAACTTTTCACCCAACGTGGGCTTCCCTGGTTTTCAGTCCCATCATCCCGGTACGAACCCTTACGCCATACCGCCGTCGGTCAGCAACGTCCCCGGTTTCCCCGCTGCCAGCGTCGCCCCGTCTGCCTCCTTACCCAACCAGTTTATAAACCAGTGGGCAAACATGGGCATGACCCCGGCGCAGTTTGGCCAGATCCCTACCAACCCCCAGCACAACCCCTTGGAGATGTTTGCCCGCCTCGGGGGATTCCCAATGCCATCCTTCAACCTCAACCAGGGATTCCCTGCCGGCCAGAACCCTTTCCAAGACCAGGCGAGGATGCCTGGCCCCGGGCAGACAAACCAGGCCAACCAACTCAACCCGCCTTGGCCCGGAGCGTTGCCACCCACACCGCAGTTCCAGCAATTCCTGCAGCAGTTCCCGCAACAGTTCCAGTCTCCGCCCATGCCAAACGCCCAATCAGAGCAAAATTGGTACTCCTCCCCGCCCAAGTCGGACCCCAGGGAAGACCTGATCAGTCAACTCCTCAAGACCACGTTCATCGAGCTCAAGAAGACTATGAAGAAAGATCTAGGGCGGAAGATGGTGGAATCCTCGGCCTTCAAGTCCTTAGAAACCTGGTGGGATGACTGTGAACGCAAATCAAAGGTGGGTGCCTGATTTGGAATTTTCCGTTCAAAGCATTTGTTAGAAATGTACAAGAACTGTAGTTTGGATAGATCGGACGTATGCAGTGAAGGTGTTTATTGCATTTTATTGTACATCCTTGCAAATACGTCTACATTTATTTAGAAACATTTCAAACTGTCAAAATCTTGAGGAATTTCATTTTGTTTTTGCATGGCTTTCATTTCATAATTCGTAATTTGTTTGTTGCTTCCATGATTATCAGGAGCCCCTGAAGGTTGTCACCGATAACGAGAAGCCATCGCCAAAGGTCCAGCCTTCTCCCTTGATGTCTTTGTCATTTGGCTCCAGGACCTGGAACATAGGCTCCAGGCCCTGGAACCAAGGCTTATCACAGGGCAAGAACCTGGGCCTGGAGAGCATCGGTCTTGGACTGGGTGTCAGAGCTACTATGCCTCGCATGCCATCATTTAAGGTGAGGCAAAGTCTTGAATGTGGTGGTCTAGCTGTTATGGCCAGGGTTGGCTGGGGCTGATTCCAGCTGCTTGCTGTGTGTTGTGTCCTTGGGCAAGCCACTTTACCAGCTTTGATAACTCTCCACACAGGCATGTATTTGGTTCCTTGCATTAGCTGCGATGGACTGGAATGCAGTTCAGTTTGGTAAACTGTCCATGGCTCATGATCTGAGGGTCAGTCAGGGGTTGAATGCGGCTGCTGGCTGTGTGTGTGTGTCCTTGGGCAAGCCACTTTACCAGCTTCGCTGTGCATTATTGGACCTTGTATAAGCTATCAGTTATCAGACTTGTCGTCACACAATTTATTTTGATCGCTGGGTAAAAATTCCAATTTTATTTTATTCCCATTAAATTTTATTTTCTTTTTTAAACTTTTTTTTAAAGCTGAAGAGGAAAGTTCCCGAAGAAGAAGATCAAGAGAAGAAACCAAGAGCACAGACACCGCAACTGCTGGATGAGGACGTGTCAGGTATTGCACTAGAAAAAGAGAGGCAGACTTCTATATTGTATCATTCCTTATAGAATCTGTCAACACTTCCATCTGAACCAGGGTACTTTTCTCTGGATTTAGGCCAAATCTCTATAACATTTATGAAATTACAATGAGTGCATAGCTCCTAATTTCTTTTTGTTTAGGTCAAGACATTTTTCAAAGTGCTCTCTCATTCCTTCAAGTAACGCAGTGTATTTCAAGTTTCTTATGCCACTGAGAGAGCGCATTGTTATTATATTTGGGATGAGAACAATTTGGATGCGAACCAACATTACTACAGTGTGTAATGCATTGCTGTTGCTTTTTTTGTAAAATTCAGACACAGAGCAAGAAAAAGATGGTAAACCTTCAGAGAAGCAGCCAGTCCGAAAACACCGGAAGAGTGTGGTCAGTGACGAAGATGAAGATGATGAGGAGGAGGAGGACGATGAGGAGGACGATGAGGAGGACGAGGATGAGGAGGAAGATGCGGATGTGAAGGTATCCAAGGAGGTTGATGTAGAGGAGGAAGATGAAGACTTAGAAGAAGATGAAGACGAAGAAGATGAAGATGAGGAATCCGACTCAGATTTCGAAGGTAAACCACGTGTGGCGGAGCCAAAGTTCATTAGCATTTTCCTGAGATAAGCAAAATTACATCTAAGAAACAAGGGTTAAAGGTTTATGATGATACTGGAGCAAAAAGTCAAAATATTGCCAAAACGTACTCACAGAGTACATATCAACAAAAAACTGATAATACACCTTACAAAAATTATTGCGTTTTCTTTTTAGATGAGATCAGCAGCCTTAAGAGTGGCTCAGAGAGCTCAGAAGACGAAGAAGAGGAAGAGGAGGAAGAAGCATCAGACATGAGTGACTCAGACGAGAGCAGCTCAGGATCCGAGATCTCATCAAGTGAAGAGTCAGACTCTGATGACGAAGCTAAAGACACCAGCAGGTCAGTGCATGGCTAAAGAACACCAAAACGTCTCTTTTGGTTAAAACCTTCATCAGAAAAACATGGTGTGTGCAGGGAGTGCCCCTAAAAGAAAATGCTGTTTAGGGTTAAGTTAATAACAGTCAGCTATTTTTTTTCTGCTTAATTGGAGTGTGGGTAAGGTTTGCGGCTCATGATCACAGGGTCAGGGTCTTGAATCCAACTGGCCATTCAATTCTGTTGTGTCCTTGGGCTAGCCACTTTACCCCAACTTGCCTCTCTCACTCCAGAACTGTAAAACGGCACTGACAAACTGGGAGGTTTAGAAATAGTTGTCTCGTGCGAAGGAAACCAGAGATAAATGCTGGCCTAGTTAACTCGCGTTGGTTTGAGACACGTTTGCTTACCTACTTGGTGTACAGGAAGGAGTTGAAAGAGAAGCTGGCTAAGATACCAGAGGAAGTAGAAGAAGAGCAGGAGGCCAAGAAGGAGACGGAGGAAGTCAAAGAGGCTTCCGTCCCTAAGAAGGCTGACAAGAAGGCCGTCAACGGGGATGTTTCACAGAAGGAAGCTGTCAAAGACAAGTAGGTTCTTTGGTCTTTTAAATGGAACTCCGGATGCATTTTTGCCAGAAGATTTCTTGAATTTTCCAAAATCCACCGCTTTGCAGGAAAATCCGTGGAGCGCATTCTTCCTGTTGGATTTTGAAGGATTGGGAAAGGTTAGGGTTTAGGCTGGTTCATGGTATGAACCCTAATCCTCCTCAATCCTCCAAAGTCCTCCGGGCAGTTTTGGAGGATTTTGGAGGTTTGAGGCTGAATGCAACATACACTTTTAGAGGATTGTGGAGGATTGAGGGCACATGGACATTCAGTATTGGTTGATTTTGGAGGATTGAGGGTATATGGTGTTTGAAGAAGAAGAGGATTTTGAGGATGAATGCATTTTGAGAGGCAGAACTGTCTGAGGATTTTGAAGGATTGGGGCAGTGGGTATCCTTCATTTTGGCATGGAGGATTTTGGAGGATTGAGGATGGTTCCTGGCAAAAAGGGCCTGGGGGTGGGTTAGGGTAAAAGTTTTTCATCTGTTCATGACTAAGTGAAAAACGAAAGTTCACCAGGCACACTAGCCTTTGACATGTTGCTTTTGCATATTGTATCTTCACATTAAGTTTCTGCCAGGGGAGGTTTTTTGTTGCTGGTTGTTTCAGGTTTCAATTGTTCATTCTTCCAGGAACTTGTACCACTGACAAGTTTTCAGACCCAACATGCGATTACCTTGTTTATTAGAATCATGAAGTTTTAGTAGGTTCATCTTATCTTGATATTGTTGTGAAAGCTTTTAACCCTAGCCTCACCCAAAGCTACAAAATACTACTAGTAGTAAACTGAAGTATGCAGTACTTTAGCATATAAGTGGGCACAGCACTCACAGTAGTTTTTAGTATTTGGGTACTACATACATACATTTTGTAGTACTTTGTAGTATGTGGTACTTTAGTCCAAAGTAAGCTTAAGGGGGTTAGGGTTAAAGAACTTCCACTTGCCATTCGAAGTAAAAAGCCTGAGAAGTTTCTCAAGCAGAACTTTGGTTTGTTCTCCTGGAAAACAGAGCCGAAGAGAAAAAATCCAAGACCAAAATCTCCAAGGACCTCTCAGATAAGACCAGGAAGGATGCAGGGCAGGCAGAGAGTGAGACGAAGCCCTCGGAGAAGGACCAAGAGGCTGTCCAAGACTCTAAACCAGGCAGGACCACCAGGCTGGACTCCTTCGAGATGCTGGTAGAGCTGGCCACCAAGGCTCGGAGTGAGCTCCTGGAGGACGTCCCCAATGTCTCCGGAGAGACCGATACGTCTTCGGAGAAGAACAAGGGTCTCCCGTCGGCGCAGGAAGCCATCAAGAAGGGGACGGTAGAAGGCTCCCAGGATGCCAAGCTTCCGGAGCTTCTGGAGAGCATTGAGGAGGAGGTGGTCATGGAGTCCGTGGAAGACATGGAGATGCAGATAGGTGCTAAGAAGGCCACCAAGGCTGCCCTGCCAAAGGTAATGGAGGCTTGAACAAATATTGTCATTGCAATGGAGGATCTCTGTAACGGAACAGATTCACAAAAACTGTCTGCCACCAAGCATTTCCCTCTACCAGGCTAGTTTTAAACATAATACCCAACATGTTTTCTTGCAGTTCAGCGTTCGTCCTTCGTACTTTATGTAGGGCAACGTGCAAACACAAAAAGCCATCACAAGTCATTGTTATTCACACACTTAAATTCCAACTTGAAGCATGCAAAGTGCTAAAGTCTTTGTCTCTTTGTTTCATTGGAATACCGTTTGGGGTTGGCTTGCTTGTTTGAATCTTATAGTTTCTTTAGTTAAAATGTCTACACAAGTATCCTAAATGTGGTAGGTTCGAACCCCAGCCAGGGAAGCTTATTCATTTTTAATCACAAGCTCTTGAACAGCACTGAGTGTGCAGTGCATAGATAAAGTATGTCAGAAAAGGGCAAAACTCCAGTGTAAGAATGTTTACATCTCTCAAAGGCAAATATTAAAAAAAAAAAAAACTTAGTCAATCAAACTCGAGATACTGAAGCAGGTTTAAATCTTTCTTGTTCCTGTCCTAAATAAAAAGTGACCAAGCTTGTTCAATTTGTAGAGAACTTATTACGGAGGCTGCAGGTTTGAATCCCACCTTAGGCAAAATTGCTTAGTTCACTCTTTCAAATGACATCGCCTCTTTCAATTCTCCTTCCAGGAGGCGGCCGATGACCAGCAACCCCTCCCCTTCCTGGACCACAGCTACTGCCAGCGCCCGCCCCCGTCCCCTCCCAAAGAATCCCCGCCCAAGGAATCCCCGCCCAAAGAATCTCCGCCCAAGGACATCGCCAACCAGGTCCTCTCACACCAGCCCATGCTGAAGCTGGTCAAGTTGGACCTCTCCGACCAAGAGCTCCCCGCCACGCCCAAAGCCGCCGCTGCCACCACCGAGAGCGAGGAGATCATTGACGTGGTCTCGGACGCCAACGTAGACGTCACGCCCAAGAAGCAGAAATCCGGCAAGAGGAAACACAAGGTGGAGCCGTCCTTAGAAGAGGAGGTCGCAGTCCCCGTCCCGTCCAAACCTGAGTTCATGCCCAGGAATTATTACGAGGAGTGGGGTCTACTCTACCAGATCCTGGCGGCAGGCATAGACCAGGAGGACTCCTACTACCTACGGAAGAGCTACGAATCCATGATGCAAGAGGGCAGGATACCCTGGCTCAGCTACACTCACTGGGTCTTACATCCACATATCCTTTGCTGAAACACTTGCTCTCTAAACTCCCCTATGTTTATTGCCCTGGGGCTCGAATTTCAGATAAAAATCTACTAAACGGTAGACTTAAAGGTAATGTGCAACATTTGCTTTTTCTGTAATCGTTCAGAAATGGATGGATATGGGGGTTAGTATTTTATAGTATATATTGTTACACTGACTTGTTTAAAGTTTTGTGTTTATAGATGCTGGAAAAATCAAGGGAAAAAGGTTGTTCTTGTCGTCTGGTTCCTTCACTCAACTTCAGACGAAATGGAGTAATTTTAAAGACGTTGCGGAATTGTGAGATCAGGGAACCAGACTAGCTTGCTTGCACCCATTCACGGATGTGTAACCCATTGCAAACTAAATGTGGACTAACTCAATTTGGTAAATTGGGGACAGTATTTGAAAGAAAGTCAGTTTTTTTTCCCAATTTCGTTGGAAATTGATACAAAAATTCCACTCTTCTTGAAAATGACAGCACACCATGTATCAGGTGCCAAGATTTTAGAGGATGCTTGAGACTATTATTCACTTACAGTCAAGCAAGGTATTTCATAATAATTTGGTAGTTTTCTTTTTTGATGTTTGCAAATGTTGTATATTACCTAGCCCAGGTTGGACTCCTCCGTTGTGTATATGCGACGGAGTCCAGGGTATGAACCTCTGCTGCCATAGCGAAAAAAATTACAACAAATTTTTTTTCATATTTTTACATGATTGAAGAAGCTGAAATTTTGTTTACATATTCCTTGTGTCTAGAATTACAAAGAAATTTGGTTTAGAAAAAAACTAAATATGTCCATGGGCGACGTGTTTACCGAAAATAAATCGCAGATCCACGCTTTTGTTATAAACATTTTCAGTACGAACTTCCCGTGTGAAGACTAAAGCATGCGCATGCAACACAGTTGCTATGCGGGGCAAGCTTGCGCGCCCATAAGTCTTCACACAGGAATTTCGTACCGAAAATGTTTGCGACAAAAGCGTGACCACAAAGATGGTGGTATCACAAAGATGGCGGTATCACAAAGATGGACACACTTTGTTCAAAGAGTTCCTTAACTGATCCACACTGACTGCGATTCCAGACCCGCCCAAGAAGAAACGCAAGGTGGACGACGTCCGGATTCACGGGACGGGCTCGGGGAGAACGGAAGGCTTCTATAAGATCACGACGCAGGAGAAGAAGAAGTATCTGGCCAGGTTACGAACGTTGCCCCAGGACAAGGGAGAAAACAATGAGGTATATACGTAGGTCTTCAAAAACATGGAACCAAACTTCACAGAAACCTGTTGCAATCAAGGCTTGAGTTTCAGGTTAAAATCTTCTAGACTACTAGACCAGTTGCTCAGTTATTTTTACAAAATTGAAGCCATAATCATATCGTCATAATTGTTCATTTGCTGTGTGCATTCAAAGGCTCCTGAATTTTTGTGGCACCAGTGGTTAAGTGGAAGCCAGAGCTGAAGGCAAGTTTGGTACGTGACTCCCTTTTTGTTTGCTTGTCAGGACTCGAGTGTAGCAATCAAGGCAAGCGGAGGCAAACACATGCAGTTATCTCGTGAGGCAAGGTCAGACCAGCGACGTGCTATGGCAACGCTCACCAGGCAAGACGGAGCTGTGTCTGATCTCCTGAAATTCAACCAACTCAAGGTAAGAATCAACTTTTTTAGCTTTTGTGGGATTTAAAAAAAAAGAAATTTGGGGAAAATGTCCATACTCGATTGCCACTTTAACTGCCGCCAAACATATCAATTTTCACCTCACCTTGTGATTTCAACCAAGAGGAATCCAGGAAGCTGTGTAAAGGCGAAAAAAAATTAGGCAAAATGTGTTTTTAGAGCACATTTTGGATGCACACGTTGTGCAGAACTAACTTGAAGCAGCCGGTCAAAACTGATTGTAGTGGCTGAAAGATAGCGGTACGTTATACGCATGACATCGACAACCATGACGTCACTTGAGCCGGCCAATGATAGTGCAATACGTCATTATGAATATTTATTTTCTCATGAATATTTAGTTTATTTCAATGGCTACTTCAAATATGTCCAAAGATTGATTATTGCAACAGCGATCGTGCGCGGCCTAGCGGTTAAGAGTCTCGTGTTTCAAGCAAGAGTCCGAGGTTCCAATCTCGATGAAGTAAGTGTAATAAATAGATATAAAGGAAAGGAGAGGGTGAGAGTAGAGGAGGGAAAGTGGAGGGAATTACCATAAAGGATGCAACTTTTGGCGCTTGAAAATTAATTGAAAAAAGTGGCGATCGAGTATGGAATTTTTTCCGAAATTTGTATGTAAATATGACAACCCTTGCCAAAACAGTGTACTTCCCACCTGGAATTGCTTTAAGAAATCATTTAAAGAGACAGAAGAGACGGATAAACACGCAGGGAGCGAGGCCGGCAGTATCTGTCAACGACCCGCTCGCAGCGATCGAGGCTGGAAATATGAGTGTGCTGCCCGAGGGTGATGGCTTCAACCCGCCTGGCTTGAGGTCGAGTAAAACATAATCCCGGGCCTCGCTCCGTTCTTGTCAAAATAACCCCGGCGTGAACTGGTTTAACAAGATGAATAATATTGTGGTCGTTGTCTCTCCGCAGTTCCGTAAGAAGGACCTGAAGTTCCTGAAGAGCGGCATCCACGGCTGGGGGCTGTACGCCATGCAGCCCATCTCGGCCGACGAGATGGTCATCGAGTACGTCGGGGAGTCCATCCGGCAGAGCGTGGCCGACGAGCGCGAGACGCGCTACGAGAAGATTGGAATCGGTAGCAGCTACCTGTTCCGCATCGACGCCGACGCCATCATCGACGCTACCTTGACCGGCAACCTGGCGCGGTTTATCAATCACAGCTGTACGGTAAGGAGCAGTTTCATCAACCTAACCGCCTCGGCCCTTTTGGCTAGGAACCATCCTCAATACTGCAAAATCCACCCAATGGTCACCACGTAAAGCTTTGTTATATAATTTGTATTGTCATATGGTGTGCTTGGATTTTATCGTGTGCCGTAATTGCATTGGTCGCGAGCAGCCACGTGTCTAGTCTATAAAAACGCATGGACAATGGCTACCCTCATATACAGTGCGTGCTGCTCGCACACTCGTGTTGAATCTGCACGCACGCTCGTGACTAAGCTGCATTCGATACGTATGCAACTGCTCAGATCAGTCTCGTGTCTGGCAGGGTAGTCTACAAATCAAAGGATTTCTTGCATAGTAAGTTACAATTATTTCGCCTCGGGTGCTATGCACCCCGAGGGTGTTAAAAACGTCATGTCCCACATCACATTAGTCAACAAAAATGTGTGTAGGGCCCCAAATTTTTTGAATCAGTCAGCAACAGAAAGGCTGATTAATGCATTTGTGACAAGTCGCATCGACAACTGCAACAGTCTTCTTTACAGATTGCCAGATTCCCAACTTAATAAACTCCAACGGATACTGAACTCTGCGGCGAGGCTTATCACCAAAACACGCTTGCATGAACCCTTTTCATCAGTTTTACATGAGCTGCATTGGTTACCAGTGAAATCCCGCATAACTTTCAAATTACTGGTTCTGAGTTACAAATGCATTCACGGATTAGCCCCAATTTACCTCCAAGAATTAATCAACAAATATCAACCACCAAGAACCCTCCGCTCTAGTTCCAAAGATCTTCTCACTCCTTATCCAGTTACCACCAAATCATACGGTCAACGTGCCTTTCAATTCACTGCTCCCAAACTATGGAATGATCTCCCATATCAAAACCTGTCCCACCTTGGATCAATTCAAACAACTTGTTAAAACCTCACCTGTACAGTTGCACAAGCGCAAAGAGACTTAATTTTATTATGCTCTCTATATAAGAACTGTTTATTATTATTATTAAATGAAAACCAGTATTAAACTCTTTAAGCTAACCCGGGTAAAGAAATGTTATAAATAACAAAAAAAGGTACATTGCGTTGAATGGCTTTCTACGGATTTTTGCTTCGCAGTCCCGATTTTCCTAACCAAAAACAATCAGTTCCTAAAATGTTTGGCTGCCTTTCCTCTTCCAGCCCAACTGCTACGCCAAGATCATCTCCATGGAGTCGCAGAAGAAGATTGTTATCTACTCCAAGCAGAACATCAGCACGGGAGAGGAGATCACATACGACTACAAGTTCCCCATCGAAGACGAGAAAATCCCCTGCCTGTGCGGCACGACGCAGTGCAGAGGCACCCTCAATTAAGACATTGTGGGGCTGGGCAGACTCCTGCATCCTTCAAAAAACCCAACAAATCCCATGGCACATTCTTTCTACATCAAGAAAAAATTGAGACGTTATTTTGCATGAAACGTTTAGAACACTGGCCACTGTTGTCCAATCCAGAAAGGTCGATTGTGATAAAATCTCTAGTCTTTCATATTAGTCTCAAGTAAAGTAACAATCTATTCCAATGAATTCTGAAAAAAAAAAAAAAATGCATTTTTTTTTTCACTGTTAATCCCAGTTTTGTAGTTGAGTCTATCACAAGTCCCTGCAAGTCCATCACAAGTCCTCCAGTCCCAATTCAATTTCACAAGCTATTCATATGAGCTTTGACAATGGCATTCCTTTGTTATTGTTCATTCACTGTTACTTGTGACTGGACTTTGTGATTTACCCGTGATTGGCTTGTGATGGACTTGCGGTGGACCCGATTTCAACACCGGTAAATCCCCTGTCACTCTAACCTTGCTTGAGATTGACTGATTGGTAATTATTTCTAGTAATGAAACCAAGGATTCCTGAAAACGCCCTAGGCACAACAGTTCGAAAGCCTGAAGAAATCTGTGGAGAGAAGACAATGAGAAGAAACTAGAGTTTTAGAGGTGGGAGGAAAACCCCAGAAGAACATTCTGGGGGAAACCCACGGAATCAGGTAGGGACTGAAAACCCAATCCACATTTTGGCCCAGGCGGGATTCGAACCCAGGTCACAGCGGTGGAAGGCGAGGAAAGAACCCCTACGCCAACCTGACTCCCCAACTTTCCAATGCAACCTGGTTTCCATGTAGCCTGGTTTTCATTTTGAAAAGTCCCCGCAAATGACGTTCAAAACCTTTCTCTTTCATTGTCTGAGAAGTTGGTTAGTAACTTGTAAAGTTGGTTACGTGTACCCGATCCCATAGTCTGGAACCGGTTCCTGACATCGATGGTCGGGTTCCAATGCACAGCCGTAACCCTGCTATATCTAACAATATCAAAAACTTTTACATATGGTTAATAATACCACCGTCACTTTCTTGTATGTGATTGTGTACCTCTATGCATTTTCTTGCAGATATTTGCAGACAGGCCATTCCATACCACCCACTGCCAAAAAAAATACGGACAAAGTTTTTGTGTATCGTGCAATAAGAACAACAGTATGTGATTGACTGATGAAAGTTAGCAAGATGATCAGTGGTGGTTGTTGTATAACAATAGCCGGTATAATGCTTCAGCCATTACTGGGGGGCGCCGTGCGTGCACAGTTATACTGTGTGCCCAGATTGGTCCACTTAACCATTCCGAGCTTTTGGTGTACTGTCAGGAGGCCCCCTTCAATGGCGAAAGCATTGTGCTAGCTATTGTACAAAACAACTGCCCCATGATGCAGTATCTAAACACTATCTGGCACAATGCTGCCTCCATTGATGGGGGTACAAGGATTGCGTGCTGGGAAAGGTCTATAAGTTGAGTGGGAAAAAAGTTGAGTGGGGAAAAAAAATTGGAGAATTACTTGAGTGTCATCATCAACTCAAACAAATCAGCAGGTTTTCTCTCGATATGCATACAAACGTGTTTATCAATCCATTATTTTGCCAATTTCTTAAGTGTTTTTGGAAGTGGTAGATAACATCTGAAAATTTGCCAAAGTTCAAACCTTGCTCTAAAGTGTTGAAAACTAATTCCTCAAAGTTTGTAGAAGAAAAAAAGAACAATTTCTCAAAGTTTTGAAAATAGAATTCCTCAAAAGTTCCGGAAACCGGTTCTGTTCCGGAAACCGGTTCCTCAAAGTTTTCTCTTAGCCCTAACCTTACCAACTCCATCAAAATCCATTCCCCCAATTTTGATGGATTTTGTGGGGACGTGGTCTTGCTGGCGTAATTTTTTTTTTTGCAGCATACATCGTATTTTAACCAATCACACTTCAATTAAAGTGATCCCAACCAACAAAAATATTTGATGAAAATGGACATAGGTCTGAGCCACAAATCTTACGATCCATAGTCCATTCCACTATCCACTAGGCCACCGTGGCAGCTCGACGAAAGCCGTTCTTTGAAATGCTTTAATGTACATGCATGACTGAGTGATAGCAATGGTGTGACGTCATTGTTATCTTCTTATGAACAAACATCAAACTAGTCGTGATCCATTGATGTGCGCTGCAGATAAAAACACCGGGGTCCTGCAGGCATGGTTTGACTACAATTTTGATGGAGTATGATGGACTTGGGCTTGGAGGCCTAAAAGTCTGCTTGGGAATTCGATGAAGTTTGCCTTTTGATAGACACGGTCCCTTACATAGTAGAATTAAGGAGGGAGTTGGGTTAAGTGTGATATTTTGAGATTACAAGTACACTGCATTGTACTAAAATGCTGCATTTGTCAGTTCGTTTCTTTGCTGTTCATAAATCATTTTTTCTTTGTAGAATGCTTAGGAATGAGTTCCAATTTCTGTTTTTGAGTCTGTTGTTCTCAGGCGAGCGTAATAGACTAGCAAAGAACATATAAAATTGTGTGTCTGAAATTCTAAGAATTTTTGTTTTTCCCAAAGTGACATTTCTTGTTTTTGTTCTTTTATATTGATTTTTTTTTTTTTTTTTTTTTTACGTTTATGAACGTTTCTTATGTTGAACATTATCTTTCATGTTCACAGAAGGGCCTGTATTTTTTTGTTGTGGCGAGTCAAAAAATAATGTTGAATTTTTTTGTATAAGCATGGAAGCTGAAAAAAATTGTGTTTGTTGTGACTTGTAATTAGAATGTAATATTTTTGATGAAAAAAAATGTTAATTTTTTTGAAAAAAAAAAAATTTGGATGTAAAAAAAAGATTTTTTTTTTGTAAATACATAAGAATTGTGCAGTTGTACATTTTATACATCTTGGGTTCATATTTTGGTCACAGTGGGGTGCAAAAGACGTAGCTTTTTGTGACATTTTTGGTCATTTTGGAGATGGAAATGTGTTTAGAATGTGTTCATAAACAACCTTTTCCCCAGATATTTTTGAGTTAAAAATGAGTCATCATTTAGTAATGTTTACAATTACAAAGAAGACGCAGTTGACCATGACTTTGAAAAAAAAACCGGACAAAGTCTTTACCGACTGTGTTTGTTTTCATATTTTGTAAATAGTGTAAATATATTTACATGTACACATGTATTAAACAGTGAAATTATCAACAGAACAGTCTAAATTGTCAATTGTGTATGTCTTGAATACATTTTTTTTTTCTATATGGGTGTCAAATAACATTCTCCATGTATGAGTTTGAAGCTTTCGTAGATGACCCGCAACTATCGGGATATGTTTTATATTCCAACAGACAGATGATGCAGTTTTATTTCTGGTTCAGAATCTTTCCTGAATTCGCAAAAAAAAAAAATCCCCCAAAATTGTGCAGTTAGGTTAAGGAGAATGGACGATGAACTGTAGATTCGTGCTAAGGCCAAAAAAAAAGTATCCGGTTTCTGGTATGGAGCTTGCCCAAAAAGTGGTGCGGCGACGCGGCTTTTTTTTTTACCTGATTTTTGGCTTCAAATGTCGGCTGATGACTGCAAATGGTGCCCAACTAAACTTAATATAAACGCAAATATAATTATGGGAGTCCAGAGAGGCCACATAAAGCTTATTCTCGACCATAACCCAATCTAAAAACACGTTAAAATTGTACAGCAGCAGGATTCCAGTCAAACCAGTGAGTTTGGCGGTTTTGAGACATCATCTTTCATTGAAAAAAAAAACTTTTTCATTTTGCCGACGCGCATGGCTACGGCGACGCGCGCGCATACCAGAAACCGAGTCCATTCTTGCACGAATCAACAGTTCAGAGTCTATTCTCCGACTTAACCAATTTCTTAAAACAACAATAGTTTATGCAAATAAGACACCTGGTTTTCCACAATCTTCACCTATGTGACTCGGTGTAGATTCGTATATATACACAATCTATTCAACTTTGCCTGGCCCTGCGCTTTCATCGTGACAAGATCCTATTGTTAACCCTTCGGATGGGCGCAACTCTTCTGTTTCATTCATCATATGCAGGCAGCGGCATTTGTCCCGGGAAGCCAGTGATAGTTACTGGTGTATAGTGCGAACACACTGTCTATATTCCTTACTCCCAAAGCCAAATGGAGTTTATACATGTATGTTACAGCTACGGGATGTACACTGGATTCTGAAAACTATTACACGTACATGCTGTTGATGCTATATTTCATCTGCTATGAGGAGTTTTAACACCAACCGCAAGAAAAAGTTTGACAAGCAACTCATTTGTTTATACATATGGAGCCAAGCGGCGCGTTTTGTCATGATGGACTACCACTGGGAATCAAGTGTGTCCGACATGCTGACATCACTGAGATGGGACACCCTACACAACAGACGTCTCCTCCATCAGGTTGAACTCCTCTACAAAATTCAACATGGCCAAGTACATATAACTACTCCTCCGAACATCGTCCATAACACACGATCAAGCCGACACAACCAGACCAATCAACAAAGCCCCATCTACAGGGAACCACTCACCAGAGTTGACTGCTACCTCTATAGCCCTTTCCCGAGAGCTGTTCGGATTTGGAACAGGCTACCAGTGGCTGCAGTTACTGCGACCACTTTGAAAGGGTTCAAGACAGAAGCTCTCCCAGCTATAAGAGGGATGGAGCTACCAGTTGTATCTCTCAGGACAAATTGACAATACCACCATCCGATAAGCACCCTAACAGCACACACAAAGAGCACACATGGAATCGCAACCCACCCTCTCCAGGACAGCAGCAATGCTTTTAGGAGAGTACTCTAATGCAAGATGCAAGATTTGTGCACAGAGGTCTTTGATTTGTGGAACCACATGTCATTGCCCATTCAATGGAGAACCACATTGTTTATCTTGATATTTATTATATGGAGTACACATCGGAATATCACCATCTCACTCTTCAGAGGAAATAACTTTGTTTGGAAACTACATTACTGTGGAAAATATTCTGGGAAGTATTGATTTGGTAAGTTTCATTTGATTTCTTTAGTCATTCGTCCATTCTCTTTAGGATTGTCCTTCCGTTAATGGCCTTTTTTTCACTGGCCAGTGATAAATAGACTGAGAAATAGCCTAATGATAAAACTAAAATAAAATGGGTTAAGACTAGATGTGAACATAAACTTTAACCAAGGGAAATCCACTGATTCTTTTTTTTATAAATGTGAGTTTAAAGACAACGATAAAAAAAAAGTTGGTCAAAATTTAAACAAAGAATTAAAGATCATAAATTTTTAAGAAAAATTAAAAAAGACTAAAAATAAAAAGAAACAGAATTAAAAAGTCATTAAGAAGAATACTTTACACTAGACCTTAAGTAGAAATTGATAATCGCCAGCATATAAAATTAAAAGTACCAGCTCTGCAAATTGAAAAATAAAATCCAAAGAGAACATTGTGTGTAAATAAAAATCAAAGAACTAAAATAGAAGGCTATTTCTTTAAATCAGGTACATGTCAAATTCGTTCGGAAAAAAACCCTCTTTTTAAAACCTCTAAAATAATAAAACCTTTAAAATTTCGTACATTTTTAAGTACCTTTCGAAAGTCCATTTCTTTCATTTTAAAGTGGACTGGGACTTTCCCCTGAGTCCCGTTTATAAATGGAGTCGTTTGCAGAGGCTATTCACAACAAAACTGTAGATTCTTAAAATAATCTACAGCAAAGTGTAGATACGTAAAATAATCTACAGTAAACTGTACATTCGTACAAATAATCTACACTTTTAACAATAGTGTGACGTCACAGAAATAGGTTAATGAGTAATAAAGTCTGTCATACACCAGCCAATATGGCCCATCAGGCTGGCGTTCATCTCCGGTTTCAATAGCATGAAACGATTGAGAAATATTTCTATTCCCCCTGGATGGGATGCCAGTCCATCGCAGGTTACTCCCCAGCTAATGCCGGTACCCATTTATACTCCTGGGTGGAGAGAGGCAAGTGGGGGTGAAGTGGATTGCCCAGGGACACCACATTATGACCAGCAGCTGCATTCGAACCCCTGACCCTCTTGTCGGTGACTACTAAAATAAAACACTTAAAAAATAGGCCAGGCTACGGGCCGGCTATGGACCTGCTCGTTGTCCAAATTCTGCCAAAACAGCGGGAGTTGGATTCTAGATGATTTTGGGGCAGTATGGTGAATGCAAAGTTCCATTAGACGACACAGTTTTCTCATCGATAAGGGATCGACACTCTATTCTTTTCAACTGAACATAAACTTAAAAGCGCACTCGCGTCAAGCTGTTAGTTTTCAGTTTTATTTTACCACGAAAAAAAAAAGTTCCAGAAATTCATGTCCGGGTCTTTATTATGAAGCCGATGCGGGCGACTAGGCCTACAGTTTAGCAGTATAGCACAACCAGCCTATAAAGCTGCACCAAAACACCCTGCGAACGAACAAGGCAATGCCATGGAATATGTTGCTGCTTTCATTTTCTGCCTCACAAAAGCCAACCTTGGCTATGGAAATATTCACGGCACAATGAATAGTAAACGCAGTGAACCCTGAAGGGACGAAACGAAGCACAATAACCCTATTTAGCGAACCTTCAGTGGGTGGTTTTTATGTGACGGTGTGCCGTAAAAATGCAAAAAGTTCAGTTCCGCAGATGCGGAAAAATACGCGCACCACGGTGACTACGTATCGGTGACACGCCTAGTAGTAATTGCCTATCGGTAGTAAAGTAGTGTAGCGCAGTATAGCGCGGTCAAAGGATTTACTCAAGACAATCACGACACTTAAAAAGTGTTAAAGGACACTGATTTGGATTCAGTCCATTTTCGGATCAACCAATAATTTTGCTGGGCATCCATTCTGTCTACGTGGTTTCAAACAGACATGAACTCTGTAAGTACTTAATGTGTACAATTATTTAGGCCTATAGTACATGTATACACACGTAGCCTCGTAGGCTTACTTGAACATGAGTACCTCTTGAACTTGCATGACGTTAATGAAACATTTGAACATTGAACATTTTGTAAAAAGCCCTTTTTAAAAACAAACTTCTTACTTTGTTATAGACAGGGAAATGTAAGCATCATGCACAGGCTGCACTTTTTCAGTGGAATCGGAAGTTGTGTTGGTTGGTTATTGTGTAGGCCTATAGTATAATGCCCCCATTTTCGATTTGTATTTTCGGTCTTTTCTTGCCTACTTTTGTCTCCTAATATACATTACATATGCCCACATCAACCCTAACGTATGTTGACCCCGGCAGAGGCAATTTCATTAAGAACCTTTCAAAATCCTACAGAATCCAACAATTTCTACGTTCTCTCGTCGCATGAAACATGAAATACTTGGAAGTTACATAAATTAGGCCTAAGTATAGGCATAACTCACGCGAACTTGCGTGAGTCTTGACTGGAATAATTTTACGTCATTGCTTAAAATAGGATTTGATGAAGACACAATTCACAGTATGGCTGGATTATTCTGTATACTGGGGATGGTGCAGAAACGATAAAGGACATGCAGAAGGCGAAACCGTCATAACATACTTTTTCTCTCACAAAAAGTTTGCAATTAGAGTTATCTGTTATATAATTCTTCAATTATCATAATATAACAGCAGTGTAACAATTTCTGCACCACGCATCTTTATTTACCATCAGTTATCATCATGATACATCATGATTGCAATGGGTTTCATTTTTTAGGCCTATAAATAGAAATTGCTCACATGGCAATATGCGTACTGTACCCGGAAGTGCACTGTTGGTCGTTGAGGGGGTAGCAGCCGTAGTATTCACCGGCAATATCTGAAAGTCAAAAGACAAACTTCACACCGTGCCTCGAAGTTCGAACTGAGCAGTGGCAACATAATATGTACAATGACTTAGGTTGAATGTGCCATCGCCAACCGGAAAATGTGTCCGAATATCGTGACTTTGTCTGGACAAATCTAGCCTTTCGCCCAGGCCATCGTGGCTTAGAGCGGCGGAGTTGCGAAGACCCGAAGCGACTGGAGCAAAGATTAAGTCGCCGCTTTGAATGCGGGCAAGTTAAGTCACGATGGCCTTGGTGAAAGGCTAGGACAAATCCTGTTCATTTTTGGGGGTCAACCTTTGGGGCAGTATGACGAGGGGGCCTTTTGTCGTAACTAATGTCCATTTTAGTGAGCTCAAGGGCTCATTTCATGCATGGACCTGCTTAGAAATGCGATGAGCACATTAACTAAAGATTTACTCAGCAATGCTGGGATGGGTTACCGGCCAACATTTCATGTAATATGTAACTAAATCTTGGTGTTCCCACTCTCCAAAGTTGAATTTCCTGAAATTGGCATATTTTTCCCCTGAGATTTCCTGAAATTTCCTTAGAAGTTTCTGGGGTTTTCCTGATTTATTTCCTTAAATTAAGGAAGTCACCATGGTAATTATATAAAAATGTCTGTTTCTTACCTTTTTAGTTTCACAGTTTTTCAAAGAAAATCTCTTTCGAAGCTAGTGCGTCCTCATCATCTGCACTCGCTGTCAAAATTGTTATGCAGACTTCAGCAAGACTTTCTTTTCAGATTTGAAAAGAAAGCCAAAGTTTTAGGCCAACATTTTCAGACACCATCTCAATTTTCCAAACTGCATGTCAAACCTTTTCAAAAAAATGTTCAGCATATCGTTAAGGGATGTACGTGCATGGTAAGGGATTGGGGTGGAGTTTAGGAAGATAACCGCTATAAAGGGTCCATCCCAGTAAATATATAGGCCAAAATTCCGTTCGCCGAGCTCATGAATAAAAGTTATTCACTCAAATTCTACTACACTAGAGAGTTCTGAGAGCCATGGAATTGGGGAATTGAAGAGATATGGCAATGAACCTCCGACCTGGACTTAATTGTGGCTTCCAATTCGGAGTATTTTGGATGCAATTGGGCCCGAAAGTGGCGCTATTTAACCACGTTGTGGAGGGATCCTTTTTCAAGATGGCTACTTTTCCACTTTGGGAAACATCACTCGTATTAGGGGTGGTCTTCTTTGGGTGAGAATTTTTCAAAAAGTAAATGGTCAACCCAACAAAAATTGAAAAGAAAATGAAAGATAACCGATGTTGATCATCATTTACGGTGTGTAGCTGTGAGAGTTCTGAGTATTTTTAAAAAAATTTCGAAGTATGGGCATTTAGCACTAGTGTTTATAGGAATTTTAAAAATGGGGTAAACCCTTAAAGTAATTATGTGTATTATGATGATGCCCCTATACTGCTTTTCGAGTTTTCCCACGGCCGGTGGCCGGTGGCCGGAACGTGAAGGGAAAATTTCCAGAATATTTCATTTTACACCCAATACTGGAAGAAATCATCTTGCTACATGGTATACTGATTGAAATGTTCATTATTCTTCCAATTATTTGCGCGGTTATTTTCTTCTAACCAGAGAGACGGCAGAAGAGGTCGGGCCGGGCAGAGGGCTAGGGCAGCATCGTACCCGAATCGAGCTCGCAGAGCACGCGCTCAAAACGTAAGTGGAATAATAAACGCTTCTTAGGCCTATACAGGGTGAGTAAAAAAAAACCCAACGAACCCCAAATGTCGGGACTATTGTTTTTTTTAAGATCTGCATGTAGCACTTCCAAAATTTAGGATACGAAAGCCCAATTCAAAAGCTTTCTTTTAGTACAAGAATCATTCAAGTCACTCATGTACTTTTTAAGTTAAGTAATTTTAATCACAAACACCGTTTTAAATATATATCTTTCTAAAGACACACTCTGACTGTGTGCTAAATGCCATGCTTGTATCATCAAAATGATCAAAGGCACAGACCCATCAACTATCTGCCCTACTTTTTTTATACTCTTTTTATAGTTCAAATCAACTTTTAAGCTTCCAAAAAATATCTTACTCGACAGGGGACCGGGAGTGTGGCAGCCCGGAATGCCCCGATCGGCGCGCTGGTCATATCGCGGGACGGCGGCAGCAAATTCTACCCGGAGGGCGGGCGGGACAGACCCGCTAGTTCCCGCCGGTCTGCCAGGGACCCGTCACCCATCCGTCGGAAGAGGGATGATGACGATCTAGAGTTTGAATCCAAGCATCCACGTCCACTCGGAGCTCAGGCTGTGTATTATAACAATAGCTTCGTTGAGAAACCAGACTTTGGCGCGGTGAGTATGTGGTTGCAGGCCAGTAAATTATGGCCCTATATATACGCCGGCCAAACACTATTTTCGTGCCCTCAAATTCTCCGGTATTAGAGCATTTTGAGGGCCGTGAACTTGAGGATTTGTAAAAAAGGGAGAGGGGAAGCCGTGGAGAGAACTGTGAGCTTGTATTCTGTGAAATTTGGATGAAATTAGACCCTAAAATGGCTCTTTTTGCAATGGAGCGTAGTTGTCCTTTTTTTTCAAAATGGCGATGGGCTTCAGGACTACTTTTAGGGGTGATTATTTTGGATGGGATTTTCTCCCAAAAGTCATTGGTTTACCCCAAAAAATTGAACAGAAAATGAAAGATGATGAAATAAGCTTTAAATTAGTGTGTCTCAAACACCTTGGAGAGCTTGCCGAGATCACTTTAAGAGAGAATCCCCCTATATTAACCTGCAAAACATGACGAACCATTTCATTGCTACTAAGGATCACAATCATACGGACACCATAAAGTTCTATTCACTTTTGAATGAAACCCTTCAACAACACTTAAACATCACATTTAGGCCTATCTTTATTTTCAGTCTTCTTATCGTGCCGTTTGCATGCCATTTATATATTTATTTTCAATATCCCATTGTCATTATGTTAGGGCCATTTCATGCCAATGCGAATTGTTAGATTCATGATCCAAACAGTGGTCTTAGAAGTTTCAGTGTTTTGGCTGCTTCAGCATCAAAATTGTCCATGATTTTATTATCAGCGGTCAATTCTATATTGTGTAAAGTTTCTTTGTTGATAAAGTACACGGCAGAAACATATGTTATGCACAATTGCAGACAGCCGAACTTTGGTTTCCAATAATCCTGATGTGTATCACAGCAACAGCGCCCTCGCTTGTTGTGAAATAGCAGCTGCAGCCAGATGCTTTATACATAGGTCATCATAAATTACCCAGCATGCCATCCCCACTTCCTTCACAAGATTATGTGAAGCTCATCTTCCCTTCCCATCCCCCAGCACCCTGTTTGCAGGGCGGGGGTACGAGTGAAGGACATGATCAGGTGCACTTTACTGAAAATGTTACTTCATGGAGTACAGTAATGCAAATTTGCAGGATTTTTTTTAACAGTTAAATTAACTGCAAGGAACTGGTAAAAGCTTGGCCGCGCTTAGCAACCATAATAGATCTTACCATCGTATAATACAAGAAGCAGATAGGCATTGATTGTTTCTCATAATAAAGACGGGTCACCAGTCTAATTGGTGCAAATTTTGAAAGTAAAATCAAAACTCAGTGCCAGTAATCTGCTTCGCCTTCTGTTTGTCCATCAGTACGATATGCCCATGCGCAGACCACGTGATGATGATGACGATGATGGCGGAAGTGAAATGAACGACCCGCCCCTTTCTCCCCAGCAAGCATCATGCCGCTCCTTTCTCATCTTTACCTGCGTGGCGTTGGTTGTCATTGTTGTGGTGGCTTTGGCGATAATCCTCCCCGTTGCACTCGTGGCAAGTAAGTAATAATAAGAAATTGATAAATACAATATAAATAAATAAGATGATTGCTGTATTAGATTTGAACCGAGCACTCGACCCTTGCAAGTTTGTTGATCGAGTGAGACTTTGTACTGGAATCCAGCAGGGGTTCGATTTCCCTGCACCCGAGCAACATTTTGATTATTTTACTTGTAAGTTCGCAGCCTGCTCAGCTTATACACTGCTGACAAAGTTACATTGACGGAAGAAACAGTATTAACATTAATAAAAGCACCTTACCGCTTCCTGTCGCGTTGGTATTCAACAATGGTTTGCAATTATGTCGTCAAAAAGATAAGCACAAAGTCATGTACAAACTGAATGAAACGAAAGCCGATCAATCATTATTACGCCCGAACCTGATGATTCATGATTATTTCGTTATTTCAATGTCTTTCTTATCAACTGCTCTATGCTTTCGGCCTTTAATTGTTTTGCTTTTTTTACAACAAAAATGGTGGTTGTTTTTCAGTCCACTTCTTACAATTAAATTTAAGTTTATAATCATCTCTTCTTCCCATTCTCATTTCTGTTTCTGCAGGTAACTCAAGTGGACGTAAGTAACAAACAGCAACATAATTATTATAAGATGGAATTTTGCGTCGGGGTGATATAAATCGAATGAGGTTTTGCCCTTCACCGACGTTTGAGTAACACACTGAGTATACAGTGTTTAAACGTCGGCGAAGGGCAAAACCTAATTTGAGCAACATAATTATAGGCTACCTTTTTCCGAATCTCTTCATGTTTTTAATTTCCATTTTGGAACTCTTTTTGTCTGCCTGTTGATATTCGTGAAAACGTTTCACTATAGAAGTAATATTTTTATTAGTTTGTGAAACAAATCATTAAAAATTATTCTTATGTTGTCAGGGGCTACTTTAGGGGGGGGGTGTTCGAATCTTACACAATACTATGGAAATAAGTAGGAATAACAGTTATCATAATCACCGACATGAACAAAAGCTGCATATAATAATAACAATATATAGAGAAAAAAATATTCTTTGTACTAGACTCTTAAATTATGAAAAACTAAACAGCGAAGAATTTTAGGTACATTGTCCAAAATGTAAGCCCATGCCAAGATAGCACTTTCGTGCCCAGACCCGTGATTGGTGCAGAAACGCTGTTTCTCTTTTTACGACCGCCAATCAGAATGTGGCTGTTCACACTTTGGACCAATCAAAGCACGTCATTATGATTTTAACAATCATCTGGGGAAATGTATCCTGCGCCGGGACGTAATGATACAAGAGGGCGCTATTTCGTCTGAGAAAAGCCTTTCCGTTTTGGGGCCGCAGTAGACGTATTTCAAGGGGTAGTATGTCCTCGGGTCTTGTAAAAAGAGGGACACATAGCTTAAAATGATTTTAATCTTCCAAAGTTAACATTATAATTTGTTTGGAATTCGGGCGATTCACAATGCAGTGCGCCACCAAGAGTTTGCCACGGAGAGTTCATTTTTCCCTGTGCATTGTGGGAGATGGTCGACAAATTCGCAGTGCGAGGCATTTGAATTTGTTCGTTTTTTTCCGGTCAGTAGTTTCATAAGCATATTATGATTCGAGTATATATGTCTGCCCTTTTCTTTTCGTTGTATCAATATGGCGATTTTTGATAAGGCGGCAGAACACTGTGCCCCAATCTTTAACAAATTAGTTCAAATTGTCTACTGACACTCATTCAAATGGGCCATGTTTTGTCGATCGTAAACTTGAAAAGATGACTCTCCATGGCAAACTCTTGGTGGCGCACTGCATTGTGAATCGCCCGAATTGGTAAGTTAGGGTTCGAACATATAGCTCTCGGATGTTTCACTACTTCTTTTTTATTTTTTCAATTTTCCCGCCAAATTTAGCCACTGTGACGGGAACGGTGCAACTGGGTACCGCCTTCATTACTGCATATGATAACGTCGGGTCAACCGAATACAATAACCTCGTGACCGACTTTACGGCAGTGGTAGGTGCTTTCTGTTAAGCATTTTTGTGTTATCACTGCAATTTTGTTTTTATTATATTTCGATCATATAGATAAAACATGGTGTTAATTGCCCGCAAGGTTTGTTTATGCTATGTTTTTTTTTTAACAGATAACGAATTTAACTTATGATTTTGTAAGTTTACCTTTGTATTACAGATGCTTTTATTTATTGCTTGATACAGTCATGTACACCAACAGAATTCTTCAAAACAATATAGGAACACTTTGTTTGAGAACTGTTTACCAATTCCTATTGGTCGACAGCCCGCCACGCGGGTAGTTTTAAACCGCCGATAAAACATCAATTTCCATATAAGGATATTTTTAGTACGACGTGCGCGAGGCACATACCATAACATGGCCAGAGGGGTGTTTCACAAAAAAACGAAGTAAAGTTGTTGTACAAAATCGTTGGCAATTTGTGGATTTTTGACTTTTTACCCGAAAGGTATTTATCCGCTTCCAGGCCCCCAGCCCGACCGTATTTTGTTCAAAACTGGCCAAGCTCATATTTATTCCATTATTAATGCACTTTTTATTTTCACCTTAACTTTTTAGATGGATGGGATCTTCCAGGCAAGCACCACATTTAGTTTCAGCGAGACAAAGGTCACGGATCTAGCGTAAGACATAAACTTACATTTTCATTAGTATCCTTCAGATGTAAGAAACTCCCGTTCGATTTTTCTTTTAACACGTAGGCCTTAAGAATGCGTTTCCTTTTGATTCGTCATCGTCTTGGTTATCATCACCGATCTCCGTATAAAAATCCGGATAGCCCATCGGCTGTTAGAAGTGAGGTCACCGTCATCCGCCATATTACTACTCCAAGAACAAAATTGTGTCAAGAATTATATCTTATTTAATTGACATGTAGGCCTACACTGCCATGGTCCATTGGTTACGGTGTTTCAGTGACTCATGTACGATTGGACGTGGGTTCCAACCCTGCCAGGAACATGTTGTTTGTGCTTGCCTCTCTCCACCTAGGAGTATAAATGGCTACCCGTGAGGGTAGAGGACCGAATGTGCACTGATATCGGCTGCCGCGTGGTCCCGTGGCCTGATGAACGGGGTAATAATTTTAAAACGCTTTGGAATTATTGATACGATGGGTTCTAATCCGCAACGCTACTAGCCTTTAGTGAAGGCCCGTGCGGCTACCCGGACACGAAGCACACCCCGGAGCCGGCACGTAGAAAGACTAGCACGAACGGTGATGCCGCGAGCCTCGCCGCTCGTGCGTCAGTCTTTTTACGTGCCGGGATCCGGGATGCGTGTCCGGGTGGGCCTTGACTAAAGGCTACAACGCCACTGGTTTAATTCTAGGTCAGGTACGACCACGTCTACCGCCACCACACTAGTCTCCTTCTCGCTAGTCTTCAGCTCGGGCACAGAAATCACCCCGCTTTTCCGAAACAACGTGTACGGCTTCGTCTACACGGAAATCAACAAAGCGGTGTCGCCTTTCGCAGCTCTCGCCGTAGTGACAGGCACTTTGAGCATCACTGACAGTAAGCTCTGAATGGATCAGTTTTTAATCAAACCTTTCTTTGACGACCACTTTTTTTTAGCTGCGGCTGAGCAGCTCTACAAGTAGCCATATGTCTCTAGCCGTTGGTTGGTTGGTTGGTATCAAACTTCACAAAATGCCCTTTTGGGCCATCAATCACCTTGTCCCTTAGGCCCTCCCAACAACACGTGCCTCTGGTTCATGGCCCTGCATCGTTACAGTTACATAAGTCTCCACTGATCAGCTGTTAATTGCTTGCGGTCGTGGAAATTTGGGTCACAGAGCAACCTCCCCCCCCCCCCCCCCCAGATGTTTGTACTAAAACACTTTGCAATGGGACTGGCACTGCACTGCACACAAAATGTGGTGTTCCACATGTACCTAACATACAGCTATAAAACGCTCCATGCACCAACTGACAAATAGGAATCCTTCATTTCAATTGACAATCACTGTCGCATGAATAGTACTAGTAGTGCATTATAAAAAACACACCGACTTTTACATCATGTACATGACTTATAGGCCTAGTATGTTTACAGTTGGGCCGTAGCTTCCGAGATCATTTCGAGCTTGTTTTTTTTGTGGTTGGCAAAGAAATTGCATTGGAAATGTATTATGACTATGCCTGAACGATACAGATTGATTAATTTTAAGCTTTCACCATCGTTGTCCTGACGAGTAAGCCTTGCGGAATATTTTCTTCGCAGGTTGCAACGTGTATTGCCAGAATGCCGGCGTCCTGAGTGTTCTGGACTGCACATGCACATGTTCGTCAGGTTTTAGCGGCAACACATGTCGTAAGTAATACTCCCAAAAGTTCATCGATTTTAGTCATCCTCTTTCGTGAAGAAAAAAAAATTGTTGACAAGTTCACATTTTTCTTCTGAAATACGACAGTTCTCTATTACCCACTGCCCCAAGAGCACTGGTGATCCCCATCTTTTGCGAACTCTCATTGGACGGATTTTGTTTACCACGTGACACGCGGTCAACACATGCGAGTGCGCATGACACACGCGCGCGCGCCCGACCTACCCATGATGCTTTGCGACATACCTTTGCAAGCATTGATATATGGAGATCAATGTTTGCAAGTTTGTTGTGGAGGGATTTATAAGCGCCACACCGAGCGAACGATATTAATTAAAGGGAATCTACATCATTGGCTTTTGCTGTAATTTTCAGAAATGAACTATTTGAGGGGTTAGTATAATAGATCAAATATTGTTTGACATGTTTGAAGTTTTGTGTTCGAAAATGCTGGAAAAACCAAGAAAAACAAAACTGTTCAAGTAGTCTGGTTCCCTGACTCCACTAAGGATAAAATGGATCAATTTATAGTTGCCGGAAAATTGTAAGGTAAGGGAACCAGTGCAGCTGGCCTGCATCCGTTCATGAACATGTAACAAATAGCAAACAAAATTTGGACTGTAAAAAATGGTAAATTTGGAGCAGAAGTTGAAAAATAGTTAGGTTTTTCCAACGGTGGTCGGCCGACCACCGTAGGAAATGTATACAAAAATACCATTCTCTTGAAAATGACTTCACACCGTGTGCCATAATTTTACAGGATGCTTTAGACTGTCATTTACCATCATCCTAGTAAGGTATTTTGTAAAAACTTGATAGTTTTATTTTTCGATGTTTGCAAATGTTGTATATTCACTTTAACCGATACTTTCTCCCGAACTTAACTTCCCTTTCAACTGTTCGTTTTACTGAAACAGTGCTTGTAATTGTAGGCTCCACATGATCAACGTTTAGACTGGCAGTATCAAGTTTAGGGTCGGGCGGCAAAATGAACTTTGTCTCAGATAACCTGAGGCGGCTATTTTTTCCGTCCATATAAAGTTATCATTAGCAGGTCCATAACCACTGCTGATTGTATGTGCCGTAAGAACCATTATCAAAAGTTTTTCTTCATAAGTAAATTTTGATTAAAATAGGTTGGAAATCTAATTAAGCAACTTTACATGAAGATAAATTCAGTTGATATTGTTCCGCACACTGCAGGCAAAGGGCAAATCTCACATCAATATTTTCCGCACAATCTTTTTTCTGTTGAATTTGTGATTTTGTTTTTCGCTTTACAGAGACCCCAGCATAAACTTGATGACGCCAAGCTGTGCTGTCGAGAGTGCACGGTCATGGATGCTGCAAAGGTTTAGAAGAACAGAACGTCATAAGAGGGCGCTATTCATCCGGTCAAACTCCTTGTGCACTTGACGAGGAGAATTGATATAAACATATAAAGTTGTATCTTTTACTGCTAACACTCAAAGATTATATTATCATTTTGCCTTTTGTGGGGGGGGGGGGTGCTAAACGGCACAGGCGGTCGATTTTGTTAAATATTGAGAAAATGTGAGTTACTCCTGCTGTATTTGTTCCTCCTAAACAAAAACAAAAGTCTGTTAAAAGTGTTCTTCAATAAACTTCTTTTTACAGCAAAGTTCACTCGTAACGACAGTCGCATAACATTTCAACGCCCAAAAGGCGCAAAACTCATCACATCTACATTGCATCCAGTTCAAATTATTTTAACCAAGAAAGCAAAAGAAAAAAAAGAAGGGACACGCGCCGGCATTTAATTAGGCAACCATTTGGAATTTGTAGCAATGATCCTACTTTAATTATGTCAAGAATAGTAGTCACCTTTGTTAGTTTTTTTTTTTTTTTTTTTTTTTTAGATATATGTGTTATTGAGTACACAGGTTGTTGTTATACCATGTGGTAGATCCTACATGATTGACTACAAAAGAAGTAGCCGAGGAGGCCTAACGAATTGCCAAAAAAGTTTTGTTCAAGTTTGGCAACCGCAAAAACGACAACGTATCTGTCATTTCTTGACACAAAGGAATCATTGTAACTCATCTTTTTTTTAGACTATGACACAATTTCCTTGGTCCGGATTCGCAAGCATTGTCTGAAGGGTTGTGGTGTATTTATAATGCAATGTAATCTTCTTATAGCAAGTATAAAGTGTTGGTTTTGTCATTGAGACATATCATATACCCAAGCTAATTTTGGTGACAGGAAACGGCCCGATCTTGTTTTGCTATGTAAATATTTGGGAAATTTGGAGGTGTGATCTTCTAACACGTGTATTTTTATTCAAGCTATGCATGATATTTATCAAAAAAATTTCATAAGCACATTATTAATCGAAAACAGTCATGTTGAGGTGTACATAATATAGTATACCTGGAGTATAAATATCAACTGAGTAATGTCAGAAAAAATATGTCATTTATAAAGTAATTGATTTTTGACTTAATTATTAGTTTCCTTATATAGAGGGTGGGTCGTGAGGATACCCCCTCCCTAAAAAAAAACCTTCATAAATTAATTGGCTACTTTACTCAACATATCAAGAATGTTTCTACAAATTAATAACTTGGTGCATGATAGAAAAATGTATCATATTATCTTTCTCCTTTTTTGGGGGTGGGGGGGGGGGGGTTGGGGTTGGGAATGCCCAGGACCTTCCCCACGAGGCTAGCGTTTAGACCCTGAGCTAAACACGGCTGTCAGACTTGCACATATTCGTCACCGACACCACGAACTGACACCCTCTGCATCACATGTGTACAAAAAAAATAAAATTCAATTTTTTTTTGGCACATATAAGCAGTTTGTATCATGAAGTTTAACATGACGAAGTTAAAATTGCTGAAATCATCTAAAATAAGCAAATTTTACTAGTGAGTTTTCAAGAAATTGGTCAATTCTGGTATTTTTGATTACCACGAAGTGACCCTGCACAGGGTGTCAGTTCGTGAAAACCAAAATGTACGTGTTTTCGGAGAGTGCGCGCATGCAATAGCGTTATTTTACTGAGTAAATTCGTGTCAAACCTTTAAAAGCGTTTTTCTCCGATTTGTATTTCTGCAACGCTGATCACTGGGTGTCAGTTCGTGGTGTCGGTGACGATATTGACAGACATAAAGATGCCTGATGTGCCTCAAGACAGGGAAATCGTGAACACTAGACCCATCGGATTCCGTTGGGGACGGGGTGGGGTGGGGGCTGATTTTTTTCATGAATCCCTGCTGCCCCCTCCCAAAGTCTTCGAAACTTGTTTCTAAAAGCTGACTATAGGCGAATGATTCAATTAGTAGCACTCTCCCGCCTGATCATTCGCCCTTTCTCATTGATTTATTAGAAATGATTTGTTTTCATATTAATTTTTATTCAAACTCAGTTTTCGTCCGATCTGGAGGGGGGGGGGGAAAGCAAATTTCCCCCCAAATCCTTGTACTCTCGAGCATATTCTCAATTCATTATCTTGTTTTAGGGTGGGTGGGGGACATTTAGCCATCCCACCCCCATTGACACCCCTGCAGACGCACGTGTTTTTTTTGGTGTTTTTTTTATAAATGTGTTTTTAATTAATAGTAAATATGACTTCACCCCTACCTCTTTCCCCCCTTTTTCCCGTCTTTTTTTTCTTCCTTTTTCCTTGGGGGGGGGGGGGGGGGGGGGGGAGTGCCCCCCCCTGCCCCATCTTGGCTACGCCCATGGGTACGAGAAACTGGTATATATCCTTCAGTTGGCCTTCTCGTTATCACACTGGCTGGCGTTGGATGATTAATGGGGTCCAACATCGAAACCTTGTTCTTGTTTTCGAAGCATTATGCTTCTGCGAGGTCGTTCCAGGAATAAGGCAGACTTCATGTGTGCTGATGTATCAACAACAGGTGACCATGGTGACATCAACAGTAGCACATGCAGGGTCCGGGGGAGGGGGTGAGGGTAATATTTCTGGAAAAGTGGTCCCAATTGTTTTTCAATCTTAATTTTTTTTTTAGGGGGTGGGGGGGGGTATTATATTATACTAGCGGTAACGTGCTAACATTGGTGGTGTGACTTAAAAACTTGAAGAACTATCGGACGGCCGACAGTTGCGCATGTCCAATTAACGTCTCTGCAGCGCCCACTATCAGTCCCCAAAACAAGGATAAACTCGTTATCTCGTAATAAGTATTTACTTTTCACTTCATATAACGTACAAAGTGCATTTCTAATACATTACGTTTTTAACAAAAAGATATTGTATGTGAATAGCTGAATTAAAAGGAGAATATATTTATTCCTGGAAAAAGGTTTATGTGTCTTTGTGTTCTTGAATTATTTCCTGTAGTTAATGACAGTGTCACGTGACAAAAGTGAACCGTTTTTTAAGCTCGTTGGTGACGGAATTTGTGGTTTCCGGAAAACTCGAACTTCCAAGCTGTTTGTCTGTACTGTATCATTGTTTAGGAGAGTCATATGATAATGTCACGTGATGATAATGTCACGTGATGACTTAAGGTCGGTGTTGACAACTATATTAGGCCATAATAGTCGGCTTCCGTTGATTCGATATCAATCATAAATATCGAACAATTGGTTGTTTGTTTCACATTAGTGAAGTTATTCCTGTCTCGGTGTCGTAATCTGAGAGTATACCTATACTGAAGAGAATATACCGTGTCGTCACTTAAACAAAAAATACACACGTTATGTTTTTCATTAATATAAGTTATTCATTTGTATAGAGCCAAAAGTTGTCGAGTTTTCTTATTCGAAAATATTGCTGGGGCGGGGTGGGGGTGGGGGTGGGGGTGAGAGGGGGCGGGTGGTATACGTGTCCCCCTTTCGTCCACAAATGTGTCTCAGTCGTGTACGTGATATTTTTTCAGTTTGTCAATATACTATCATATATAATGTATACATATATATATGTATACGCCTTATCCCACAAGCCAGTGCGCAACATTACGGCCACATCTTCAAGAGGGGAGCAACCCTTCCCCCCGCCCCCACCTCCGTTCAGCCGCTGACGAATGTCATGATACCACTAAAATAGGGCCAAAATGGAATGCTGAAGTTCCAAAATGTATTCTCAAATTGCTTTAGAATGTAGAAGAAAGCATCGTAGATTTCAGAAAAGATTTGGGGCATGCCCCGGACCCCCCTCCCAGCAGGGAGTACCTTGGCACGCCTTCATTCAACCCCCCCCCCCCCTCGTCCACCCCTTCATATTAACTCCCCCTCCCCGTTTCCTGAAAGCTAGCTCCGCCCCTGAGAGGAATGCCTTTGTCGCAGTTTGACTTGCCATGGCTGTCTTGAGAGTGTAATTGACTCGTGATAACTTGTATTTTTCACAAATCACACAAAAAAAATGTTCGCTGTAGCCTACGTATTAATAGTTCCGTCGAGGTCAGCCGCGCCGCGTGGGGCGCATGGTACTGACGGAACGGGTGTGAGAAGTCATTTTGTCCTTTGAATTCTCGCGTCTCGTTGATGGAGACTGGATGACTTATGTTTGACTTGTAGGGCTTATTTCGACGACTCTGGCAAAATTATCGCTGTAACAGTTCTGTACTTTTGCACTCCGCGGAGTGTCGTTGACCTTTGCCACGAGTCAACAGGTATGAGCGACCTTCAGCCCCCTTTACTTAGAAAGAAGGAGTTGAGTGTGTTACAAGTTGTCGATCTGATGATTGATTTACCGGTTGTTTATGTCGACAATTCCTGGGAGACTGGCTACGGGGATCCATTATGGCTTTATAAAGAGCTTATTTAGTCACAAACAAGTATAATTCTTGTTAATGCACAAAATTAAAGGGAAACTACAACATTTGCAAACATCGAAAAATAAAACTACCAAGCTTTTACGAAAAACCTTACTCAGTATGTTGGTAAATGACAGTCTAAAGCATCCTGTCAAACTATGGTACCTGGTGTGAAGATATTTTCAAGAAAATGGTATTTTTGTATACATTTCCAACGGTGGTCGGCCGACCACCGTTGGAAAAACCTGACTATTTTTCAACTGCTGCTCCAAATTTACCATTTGTTTCAGTCCAAATTGTGTTTGCTATTGATTACATGTTCATGAACGGGTGCAGGCCAGCTAGACTGGTTCCTTTACCTTACAATTTCTGGCATCTACAAATTGATCCATTTCATCTTTAGTTGAGTCAGGGAACCAGACTACTTGAAAATTTTAGTTTTTCTTGGTTTTTCCAGCATTTTCGGACACAACACTTCAAACATGTCAGTTTAACAATATTTTGATCTATTATATACTCACCCCTCAGCTAGTTCATTTCTGAAAATTACAGCGAAAGCCAATGATGTACATTCCCTTTAATGAACAAAACACCTCTCTTAACAATAATCGGTTTTGAAAACCAAACAAATCATTTGAAATCTGAAGAAAAAAATTATAATTGTATTTTGGTGTCGCCGTTGTATATTACAGGCGTTTTTTTTTTTTTTTTTTAAATAAATATGCCCATCAAAGTATAAGTTTTGAACCACATTTAGACTAGTAAATTGTATTATTTAATGTCCAAATAATTATGTATGAAAGAAAGAGAATCGTATCAACCCATGCAATTGCTATTGTGAGTGTGGTATCTAATGCAAATTTATGTAAATTAGGGCACTTCCTTTCGACCAATTAGTTAAGCTTATCATTGAGCATGCGCAATTTTTAAGGATGACGTCTACGCTCAACCGCGTTAATGTTGATGTATTGTTGGGAGGAAGATTGAAAGTCGCAAGCAAACTAGTTTTTTTTTTTTTTTTTACCTGAAATTACTATAAGATGATGGAACAGTTGTCAGATTTCCTATTTAGGTAAGGGGCGTCTCTTTTTTTCTCGAGGACTAAAGATTGGGACAAATGAAACAACTTTTACCTCCAACAGAAATGTATACTTCGTCTCCTGCTAACATCTCAAGCTATAAGAAACCAGCGTCCAGCTCTTGCAAGAATATGGTTTGCCTTTAAGGGGAAAAACACATGTGAGGAATACAGCTGTGAACCGAGTCATGGTTACTTTTAACCTTGGTTAAAACATCGAGTTTAATCCAATTAAGGAAAGTTCCAACGAAATGATGCAAAATAATGACGCACTTTCAGGATTTGGTTGTGGCCCAACAGTGGTATAGCCTTGATAATTGCCTGCACAATATATAGTACAAGTACGCACCGCACAAACTCGACAAAACTTTGTCAAACTTTGGAAGTTTCAATAATTTTCCAAGGCCAAAGGAGATTACAAATTGTGAAAGGTTTCATCTTTTGTGATTTACACTTTGTGTTCCTTCCTCCGTGCGTCAAATGAGATCAAAGCACAAATTATGTTGATTGAAATCTCGGCAAAGGAATTAAAAAAAGGAATTAACCACTAATCAAAATATTTTGTTTAAAATCATCTCTCAAAAATACGATTTTGTTTTGGTGTTTTACACATTTTGTTTTAGAAGGCATTATCTTATCACTAGTAACGGAATGAACAATCACAAATGATTGCATTTGTTAGGACAGTTCATTTGCATACAGCTAGGGACTTGACTTAAGACCGAAGGACTTGTGATGGACTTGTGATGGACTTGTGATGGGCTTGTGATGGGCTTGTGATGGGCTTGTGATGGACTCGTGATGGACTCGTGATGGACTCGTGATGGGCTTGTGATGGGCTTGTGATGGACTTGTGATGGACTTGTGATGGACTTGTGATGGACTTGTGATGGACTTGTGATGGACTTGTGATGGACTTGTGATGGGCTTGTGATGGGCTTGTGATGGGCTTGTGATGGACTTGTGATGGACTCGTGATGGACTCGTGATGGACTCGTGATGGACTCGTGATGGACTCGTGATGGACTCGTGATGGACTCGTGATGGACTCGTGATGGACTCGTGATGGACTCGTGATGGGCTTGTGATGGACTTGTGATGGACTTGTGATGGGCTTGTGATGGGCTTGTGATGGACTTGTGATGGACTTGTGATGGACTTGTGATGGACTTGTGATGGACTTGTGATGGACTTGTGATGGACTTGTGATGGACTTGTGATGGGCTTGCGATGAACTCGACTACAACTCTATCATGAATGTTATGCCACAACATCAGCCGCGTCTACGTAGAACATGTCTTTGAGATGGGCGTGGCAGAACAGGCTTGGATATTGGGGGGGGGGGGGGTTCCACTGAACTTTTAATAGAACCCCATTTTCAACCTTCAACATCCTTAAACGTTCATTATCCTGAAAAGAAAACTCGCTAGATAAAATACCTAGGCCGTGAATGGTACGTGCATGCATGGTGTGTTTCTAACATCTCAGAAAACGGTTTATTCGTGAATTTCATCCTATTAACAATACGTCATTTGCAAATTCCGGGTCAAACTTTTAAAAACTTTCCTTAATTTCTTTTTCAGCGCCTAAAAAGGCACATATGGGTTTTGAATTATCCTACATATCCTGTTTGTTGGACGCATCCGGCGTTGCTATGCCAATTGACATCTTTCCCAGATCACACAAATCGATTTATATCTTAAAGTAAGATTTGGAGATTTGTGTATTTGGTAGGGTAGATGCTTGAAATACTGAAGGTACTTAGGTCATACCTCGTGTAGGCCTATTTTAGTTATTTTTGATGAAAACAGTATATAACTCGCTTTATTCCCTTTTAAATGAAGTGTCGATGCTGATCAAGATATTTGTGTACAATACACGGCTCGTTTGACGACAATTGAAAACCCCCACCAATTCGCACCATGGCAATGGTGCGAATTGTATGCAAATTTGGACAACTTCAGAACTCAAGACGTGTCCAGGTGACGTCAGTAATTGGATAAATATGATGTCATTATTTTTCCGAGTCACTGCGTGGTTGAAAGCGTCATGCAAACCCATCAATGCTAGGACGCGACATGTGTTTGACCTTGCCAACAAACTTCCGCGAAATCCTCGCCACCAACCCGGAATGCGCACCCCTTGGGCCGTGGGCCAATTCATTGTCTCTAGGTCGACTCACAGGATGTTTATGCCGTGTTGTAGGTAGGCCAGTTCCGACTAAAATATCCATAAAAAGGGCAGAAGCTGGACGGTGGAGATCACTCAGAATAGCTAGCACAATCAGAGAAGCTTCAAATAGTATTGGAATTGATTAATAGAGGCATCGTTAAATAATTATGAGAGTGTTGTCTTTGTACGGGGTGCTGGTCATCGCCCTACTCGTCTGCTGCCTCGCACCGGGCGATGTGCTCAGTAAGCCCCTCAAGAAGAAGCGAGGCCGGCACGGTCATCACGATGGGGACAACGGGCGCGATCACCCCCGTGGGAGACCTGGAAAGCACGGCAAGGGTAGGGGAGAGACCACGGAGCCGCCTCAAGAAGACGACGGGTCCGGTGATGATGAGCATGCGGACTCCGGAGAAGCAGCGGGCAATCGCACACGAGGCCGGCCAGGCATGTGGTCCATCAGGCCCCGCTACGTACCCGGCGAGGATAAGCGTAAAGGGAAGGGCCCTCTCGGATTGGAAGAGACTCCTGAAGGCGTGAAACGAAACAATATGAAGAAAGCTATGGTACGTACATTGTATTCTCATCATTTTGCAGAAACTAGATAGGGCCTATTGAGAGCTACACGTTCGAAATTGATTTGTGTTAAAATTAAAAAAAACAACCAATTTTTCATTGGAACATAGATCGCAGCAATATAATTATGACGGAATTGTTTACCCTACACGTTGTAACTTGGCAATAAAGATCAATGAACCTTTATTACAGAAATAATTTAACGCTTGTATCAAATCATTCCTCTTTGTCCGAAAATGTCTTATACACAATATAACTTCAACATGTGCATTTCCTACAAACACCTTTAACCCCATTCATTTTGCAGGGAGTAGGCCTATACAATCTTCATACAAAGTTCAATCTTCCCCTGACAGACGTAAAACAATAAACGCACTCTACTAGCACAGTATGCTATAAGTAAGTGCCCCTCGAAGCTGTCCGTTTTTAATTAATCTAGGCCTACATTGTACTTAAAACTGTCAAATAAATTACAATTTGACAGTAAAATTTATAATTTGTTTCTCTTGAAATCTTCCTGTGCCGCAGGGCTACATGTCCAAGTACGGCTACATGGGCGACATGGACGAAGACGACTGGAACACCGACTCCGTCTCGGACAAGCAGATGAAGAAGAGCATCAAGATGATGCAGAAGTTCATGGGACTCAAGGCGACGGGCGAACTGGACGAGATGACCATGATGATGATGGACAAGCCGCGGTGCGGACTGCCTGACGTCCCGCCCAGCTCGGCCACGCCGAACGACACCCAGACAGGCCCGCTGTCCTACAATCACTTCGGTAGGAGATGGGGCAAACAGGAGATCACCTTCAGGTAAAAACAATTAAAAGATCAGATTTCGGTGAAATACCAAACAAAATGATGCTAATAAGTGTCAAATTCCTTTTTCATTTTTTTTTTTTTTTTGGGGGGGGGGGGGGCTTGGCTCAGTCTGCTGTATCAGTTCAGGCGGTTTCAGCCCCTCATACGGGAAAATGTGAGCTACAAATAAACAGGTCTCAGAAACTTCAAATATATAAGCTGAGGGTGTTACTAAAGGCTTTTGGAAAACACCAAAAGGCAAAATAGATTGTACTTTTTTTTAGCTGCGGGATAGCAGCTCAACAAATCATCATGTCTCTCCGTTAGTTAGTAAACAAACGTTGACATTGTCTATTGCTCCTACATATTTCGACCGATTTCAACCAAACTTTGTCCGAAGTATCAGTAGCCCAGCCCCAACATGTCACATGACCAAACTGGGGTAAAAGGTCATCATGGGGCTACTGGGGTCAAAAACCTGATTCTTTTTTAAGCTCAAAAGACTTCTCCTTCCAGAAATTTCATGGCACAATTAATCACGTGACTCAAGCATGAACACGAATTCGTTGGCCCGTAGCTTCCGAGATTCATCGACTGAGCTAAAAACCAATTTTATACATACCCATTCATAATCTCTACAGGATTCTGAATTACCCAAGCACCATGCCTTCAAGTGAGGCCAGAGAGGCCCTCATCCGGGCCTTCCTGGTCTGGAGTGACGTCACGCCCCTGACCTTCCGGGAGACGGGCCGGACGGTGCCGGAGTACGCCGACTTCTACATCAAGTTCGGCACGCGCTCCCACGGCGACGCGTACCCGTTCGACGGTCGCGGCGGGGTCTTGGCGCATGCGTTCCTACCGGGGACCAACTCGGGCGATATTGAGGGCGACGTTCATTTTGACGACGAAGAGTTGTTTACTTACGCCAGCTATTCAGGTACTTCGATAAATACTTGTGTTTTATTTTTATGTCATTTTATTTATTGATTTATAATGATGTTCTGTGAGTTCCGTCCTTTAGTTTATAAAGATTGCTTTCCAAAAGGGTCGGCCAAAATGAAATTAAAATATTAACAGATTTTAACTAACTTTGAATATAAAAGTAAATTCATAAAAGATAAAGTCCGTCAAAAACACGTATCCATTGTTAATACAGGACAATTTTATACAAATTTACTTCGACGAATTTTGAGATGCTCGTAATCTTCTCTCAGTGATGGTGCTTAATTTGAAAAATCTGCCAAAAATTGTGCACACATAAAATTGATTTTATATTTGCCTTTTTTGTTTTTCCTCTTACATATGCTTTGGAAGAGACATATGAAAGTGTCTTGTGTTTCAAACCTTTAATCTGTGTTTTCCATTTTCCTCAAAATAACCGATCGTCTCAAGCCAAAACTTCACTTGTGATTGCCAACACGTTATTATCTAGGCCTAAACACGTTTTAAACAGATGCGTCTTCCGAACGTGAACATGTACGAAACATCTTGCGCCAACTTGCAATGATCCACGCTAAAACAAACGAACACAATGTCATAATCAAGTACCGTTCCCAGACCAAACATTTACGAATTGGGTGATTTCTGTTGTGTTTACAGGTACCAACCTATTCCAAGTTGCCGCCCACGAGATCGGTCATTCTCTTGGTTTGACTCACTCCAACGACCCCACCGCTCTGATGGCGCCCTTCTACCCTGGCTGGCAGCCTACATTCTACCTGCCCTATGACGACATCGCTGGTATCCAGTCGCTTTACGGTAAGTACATACCTAGAGCAAGCCACATGAAGATCATGTTTTAGTAATGAGAGCTTGACTTCAGTCTAATTGTAGTCAGCCTTGATATTTTTATAAACAAATCGATACATTGTTACCTGACCTATACATGTATCCCGACGGAGTACTTGACTTAAAGCTGATACTTATAACAAAATTATGCGCCTATTAATTGTTTCTCCACCCCTCCCCGGGCTGCCCCACCCAAGACAGGGAGATTGTCACCGTAGGGGCCAAATCCCCACCCTTGGGGCAACATTTAAGTGGCAATCTCCGACATACATGGGTGGGGGCGCACTTAACCGATTAACTTTCCACCTGGTGAAACTGTTTGTGACAAAAATCTCCACCCTGGAGCTTGAAAAAGAGTGACCAAACTTCGACATGAGACCTAGGGCAGCGGGGTGGGGGAACAATATTAGGGAGGTTTCGCAAGCGAACGGATACGCTTACACTTACGCTTAGCTATCCGTATCCGTTTTTTACTTACGTGTAGCGAGCGAGATATGCGTGTCGTCTGCACGTTTAGCGGATAGTGAGTGGCGTATGACAGCATACGTGCAGACGACACGCATATCTCGCTCGCTACACGTAAGTAAAAAAACAGATACGGGATAGCTAATCGTAAGTGTAAGCGTATCTGTTCGCTTGCGAAACCTCCCTAATAGCAATAGTACATATAGCCTGAATATTAAGTACACGAGAGATTTACCCGACTGACTTTCCAAAACCCAAGTCTGTTTGAGTTTATCATGACCAATAGAAGCATTTTTAAGTCATTGTTTTCGAGGGTGTAATTTTGAATTGTAGACCTCAACATAACATTGATTTTTTTGACCATGTCTGCCTTATTTTTAAAACCTGTTAAATTCCAAAATTGACGATTATCAATCCTTGTCATTTCTCTGCCAGGCTCCAACCCAAGTCCCCGGCCGTACCCCAACCCGTACCCCAACCCAGAGATGTCCCAGCCCACCAACCCACCTACCACCACTACCACCCCACCAAATGTTCCCCCGAGCACTACACCCACCTCAGGTCCTAACCCTAACCCAACGGGTGCCCCCGCCCCTACCCCGGACCCTTGCAGCCCTCTCATCGGTGCCACTACCGTCTGGCGGAGCGAATTCTTTGCTTTTACCGTGAGTAAATTATCTTTCTTGACACGATTGTCAAAATTGTTGCGTTAACGCGAGAAATTGTAAAGCAACTGTATTTGCTCTTTGCATAAATCAATGCTGCATCTTTAGACCTTTTCTTGACGTCACTTTTGTGTTCTTCCACTTAAGAATCCATTCAGGTGGTAAAAGCTTGATATTTAGTCTTGCTTCCAACACATGCACGGCCCGATTGATTTTCAATTCAATGGTACCTGTATTGATCTTTAAACATAATATGTGACGAAAACAATTGTTGCAAATGCATATTTTTGTCTCTGAGATATGGTAGTTCAAAAATTCATTTGCCAAACCTGTTTGTCCACGGACGGCTTTATTTTATCCGCTTGACTGAGCTCCGGAGCTTGATTTGAAGACAAAAAACACTACACTAGACTTACACGTGGACAACAGTGATTTTGGTGACTTGTATTCAATTTAGCACAATAACACCATTCTTGCGATTTAAAAAAAAAGATTTGTTCATACATTATTAAACAAAGCCAGTTCGAACAAGTAAAGTAAGTAGGTTAAAATTTCTGTCAAAAATTTGTTTCCTTGTTTTTTGCAGCACCCTGTGGACCAGATTTAGTCATTTTCTGTTTTCTGCACACCATGTGGAAAAGTCTGATCCATTTTCCCGCTATTTGCCTCAAGCTATACAATGTTGTTAAAAGTATTTTGGTCAAATGTTTTTTCACATTCAGGGCGACAAATATGGCCGAATCCGTGATTACCAAATCCTGTCGCAAAATGGCGGCAGCACTGCCAGTTATTTCTTCCAAAACTTCCCTCGTGACATCGACGCCCTTTACGAGTCGCCCGTCAACTACAAGCTTTACATGTTCAAAGGTAAGACAAATTTCCCGTCAGTATTTTATTCCAAAACGGAAGACTGTTACAGGGTGTTTAATAGCTTCCAGAATAGGACGTCTTTATGTTACAAACGTCGGGAATCTTTTGAGTAGAATCCAAGTAAGAGTCATTTTGGAAAAGACGTTTGAAGGAACAGTCCAATTCAAATTCACCAGTCCTTTATTGAACAAACCCCAAACGTCATGACGTCGGGCGGGGCCTGCTGCTGAAATGAAGTCTCGTTGACAAGTTCTCCAAGGTTCTGTTTCCGCGCTTGTTTGAATAGTCTGGTACCTGTCCAGACTATTGGGATAAAAATCAACTTCGATCACTCACAGAATGCCAAATGTCCCATAAGAGAGTTGTCCTGTAACAGGTTCACCAACTTCCTCCACAACATTCATAAACCCGTATACTTCGCTCATGCAGGACCCTCATACTACGTCTACGAGGGACTGATGCAGGAAAGTGGCCCTCTTCCGATCACCGACCTGGACCCCTCCCTGCCCAGCGACATAGACGCCGTAGTGTCGTGGGCCACCACCAGCAAGACCTACTTCTTCAAGAATGACCAAGTCTGGCGGTTCGACGAGGCAAACCAGACGGTGGACAGCGGCTGGCCTAACCCCATCAGCCAGGTCTGGGTGGGACTACCCAACGACGTGACGGCGGCTTGGCACGACGAGGAACAATGTGAGTGTGGGGACTGAGGTGTTTCGGGGTATACGGTAGGGTGGACATGGGTTGGTTAGGGTTGGGTACTCTAGGGTGGGCCTGTTTTGGGTAAGGGGTTGGGTAAAATAGGGTATGCGCGGGTTGGTTAGGGGTTATATGCTATAGGGACTAGTTTGGGTCTGGGTTGGTCTAGAGGTTGGCCCACTAAAGTGGGCCTGAGGTGGGTAGGGGCTATGGGATGGGCCTGGATTATTTAGAGATTGGGTACACTATAGGGTGGGTCTGGGTTTGTCTAGGAATTGGGTACACGACGGTTGGCCTGGTTTTGGTTCGGCGTCTGGTGTAGTATCATGGTCAGGATTTGTTGGGGGTTGGGTACACCAGGGTGGGCCTGGGTTGGTTAGGGGTTAGGTACAGGTCATGGTTATGGGCTGGTATACACTAGGGTGGGCCTGGGTTTGTCGAGGAGTTGGGTACACGAGGGTGAGCCTTAGTTGGTTAGGGGTTGCACACCAGGGTGGGTCTGGGGTTGATGGGTAAAGAGTACACTTCGGAAGGTATGGCATATAGTTTTCTGTGTTCATTTCTCACTGAGTACTTAAGGCTTAAAAGACAAACAACTATATGGGTTACTTGAACTAAGGTCCTTAGCCGAAAAAAGTCAAATAATTTACTGTATTCCAAACTGATTTCCCCCCTCTTTTTCCCCCTGCAGTTCTGACCTACTTTATGATCGGGAGTGACTACTACCGATATGATGACTTGTACGCCGAGGTGGAAGTGGACTTGTACCCACGGAACTTCATCTCCGACTACTTCGGTTGCTTCTAATTCCCGCAATCTGTTCTGTACATTCAGCCGTTTATTTAAATTTGTTAAATATCTAATTCAACTTACATTGCTTGCCTTAAATTTATTTTAATATCGAACCACGATACGTATTTGTGAAGTGCTGGTCCACTATAAAAATTTGCAATGGACACTAAAAATATTATATTGACATTTGATAGACCAAAATGTTTATTAAAGGAAATTACAACTTGTTTAATTTATTCATTTTAGTATTTACAAATGTTAAACATTAAATTAACTAATTCCATTGAAAAAACACAAAAATAAATCTTATTTCATTGGTTTGGTAGCCTTTTCAATCGACCAGTTATCATCAGGATTTTTTTAAAATTTCCACAACGAACGTTTCTGTTATTATGCCAAATATTTCAGTCTGAATGCTGGAATGTTTAATAAAACATGACATGTAAATTAAAGTTAAAAAAAGTCTGGAGTATTATGTGTTGCATAGATTTCTACCCGCTTCTCTGAAGTCTGAACTAAAAACAAACAAGTTGGAGAATATTATGCCAAATATTTCCGTCTGAAAACTGAAATGTTGAATAAAACATGACATGTAAATTAAAGTTTTACAAAGTCAGGAGAATTATGTGTTGCATAGAATTCTACCCGCTTCTCTGAAGTCTGAACTAAAAACAAACAAGTTGGAGGATAAGAGAATAAAGTAAATTGAATTTGTTTAAAGTATTTGGTAATGTTGGGGGATATAGCGAAAGAAAATCTTCCTATTTTGCGCTAAACAATCGTTGCCCAATTTCAGGTCTCATGTTCACCACGAAATTTTGCTCGAAAAAAATCTTCATTCTGTGATGGCAGCGCTAGTTCAGAAATAACAGTTAAATATCGATAAGTTAAACTCTGATAACTCGAAAACCCTGTTAACTCGAAGTAAGAACTTAATATTCCCGTCAAAAGAATAGTAAGTACAGAATGCTTAGCCTAGTTAAAATACTTGTTGCTTGATCCCTTGCAAAAATAATTTCCTGATGACCCATCGTTGTTCAACGGCGCCCTCTCCGTAATGTGAGAGCGCAAATTTTGTTTGCGACCCCACGAACCAGCCAACCCGAAATTGTGACGTCAAATTTGATCAGAAATGTGAACTAAGCTGTTGATTGGTCAGTTTGGCTGCCATGTTTTTTTCAATACCACTAGGAAGACCTGATAATATAAGAAGGCGCCCGCTGAATGGTCAGAATCTCGAGATCCAGAGACGCAGTCTTGTTTTGCATTATTTATCGCCGTATCTGCTCACAAATTATCCCCTTGGTATAGCTGTGTGCAAGGGGATATTCCATAGACTAGACAAATTTAATAAGGTCATCAGCACAGAATCTAGAATGTATATAGAGCAGAAATGTAGTAAGAGAAGAGTTCGTTCGCTTACGGGGAGTAGAGCCTTTTAAATGCGCGCCTGCTTCATTTAAACTGAATAAGCAGGTTTTCCTTTCACTTAATTCTGGGGTGGGAAACGACATGACGTCCCCCGTCCCGCACCCACCTTTTGACACCATGGGGGAAACCTGTCTTAAAACACGTCCCAGTGTAAAATACTCTTGACTATTAAACAGCAGAAACAACCCACGCGTTGCTTGAATAAGAACTCATTCAATACCCATCGTAGCGGTCTGAAATTTCTCTGAAGTATTGTTGGAGACAGGTATAATAAGCCTATAAAGTATTACGACAAACCAATATTGTAGTCACCAAAATAAACCCCACCATTTTTGACATCAGGGAAAAACTTTCCTTAAAGACTTCCCAGTGTACAGAAAATTCTCCGGACTATTAACACGCAGAAGCAATCCACGCGTTGCTTGAACAATAACGCATAAAATACCTGTCGTACTGATTTGAAATTTAAATGAATTATTGTTGAGGACAGGTAAAACAAGCCTATAAAGTATTAAGACAAACCAATGTTGCAGTCACCAAAAAAACCCCCCTTTTTGACATCAGGGGAAAACCTGCCTTAAACACGTCCCAGTTTACAGAAAATACTCCTCACTATTGAACAGCAGAAACAATCCACGCGTTGCTTGAACCATAACTCATTAAATACCCGTCGTACTGGTCTAAAATTTCTCTGAAGCATTGTTAAGGACAGGTATAATAAGCCTATATAGTAATAAGACAAACCAATAATGTAGTTACCAAAAAAATACCTGTTTTGTCAACAGGGAGAAAACTTGCCTTAAAGACGTCCCAGTGTACAGAAAATTCTCCTGACAATTAACACGCAGAAGCAATCTACGCGTTGCTTGAACAAGAACGCATAAAATACCTGTCGTACTGGTTTGAAATTCAAATTACTTATTGTTGAGAACAAGTAAAATAAGCCTATATGGTATTCAGACAAAACCAATCTTGTAATAACCAAAAAAAACCCACTTTTTATCATAAGGAAAAAAACTGCTATAAACCGTCCCAGTGTACAGAAAAACTATTGAACAGCAGTAACAATCCACGCGTGCTTGAACAATTACTCATTAAATACTCGTCGTACTGGTTTGAACTTTCTCTGAGGTATTGCTGAGGACAGGTATGGCAAGCCTATAAAGTATTTAGACAAACCAATGTTGTAGTTACGAAAAAAACTTGTTTTGTTATCAGGGAGAAAACTTGCCTTAAAGGCGTCCCAGTGTACAGAAAATTCTCCTGACAATGAACACGCAGAAGCAATCCACACTTTGCTTGAACAAGAACGCATAAAATACCTGTTGCATTAGTTTGACATTTAAGTAAATTTTTGTTGAGGACAGGAAAAATAAGCCTATAAAATATTAACACAAAGCAATGTTGCAGTCACCAAACCCCCCCCCCCCAATATTTTGACATCAGATAAAACCTGCCTTAAACACGTCCCAGTTACAGAAAATACTCCTGACGATTGAACAGCAGAAACAACCCACGCGTTGCTTGAACACTAACTCATTAAATACCCGTCGTTCTGGTCCGAAATTTCTCTGAAGTATTGTTGGGGATAGGTAAAATAAGCTTATAGTGTTTTAAGAAAAACTAATGTTGAATTCACCAAAAAGACTTTTTTGTCATCAGGGATTGTTGACGGGTTACTTTGTTCTTTCCGTCGTAGAGCGAAGATGCAGCGCGCCAATTATAGTTGCGTAACGTATTTTGTGTGTTTATCGCCGCGGGTGCTTTGCCAGAGCAAAAAGTTTACCTAAATTTCACAGGAAGTGAATTTTTTCATCAGTCTCTAAACATTCCCGTTCATAAATCTTGAGTTGATGTCCACACTACAAAGTTCCGGAGCCTAATTCCATTTTGGCTTGATAACTCCGAATTTTAATCATCATTAGCCTAATTCAAACCAATGCTGGAAGAAGGCCTCTCCACTAACTGTCCATGCTTTTCGGTCCCTTGCCAGTTGTTTCCATTTCTTCCCTATGAAATCAGAGATTTCATTTCGCCATCTCTTAGGCTGTCTTCCTCTTCGCCTCTTCAACGATAATGGCGTCCAATCCGTTACTTTCAGGGTCCATGTATGGTTGTCTCTTCTCATGACATGTCCTGCCCAACTCCACTTTTTCTTTTTGATCTTAACTATTATGTCTTGCACCCCTGTCTTTCTTCTAAGATCTTCGTTCCTTATTCTGTCTCTCCTTGTGACCCCAATCATTATCCTTTCCATTGCCCGTACAGTGACTCGCAATTTTTGCTCTGATTTCTTTGAAGGTGCCCAAGTCTCAGCGCCATATGTTAGAACTGGGATGATCCTGGTCGAAGAGTTGACGCTTCATCTTTTGTAGTATTTTTCTGTCCTTGAATATGTAACTCAACTTGCCAAATTTGCCCATGCAAGTTGTATTCTCCTCTGAGAATATAGTGTTACTGAATTTTAATATAGTGTTAATAATCGTCGAATTTGAACAGCGGCTCCATTGAAAGTATGGTACCGGTACGAGCCCCCCCCCCCCATTGATTTTCGGAGGCCAAGTGTCCGGAGAAAAAAAACCTGTCTACATTTTACATGTTTTTGATGTTCGGTTGACCCCCCCCCCCTGTGAATATTCCTGGATCCGCCCCTGTGATTTTAACAGAGATTATCAATTTGAAAGCAATTCTTGATTGTCAATGTGGGATTTTTCCAGGATTTGTTCAATTGCACCATGCCACGTTAGTAGGGAACGCTCGGCTGAATTTGTACACAATTTCCGGGCGTCACCGTTTTTTAAATTTGACTAACTGTCATGACACCGAAATTGTTCACAAAGGTTCAACAGCAAGAATTACTAAGGCAGTATTTATTTGTGAATGAATTTGAAGTTTTCCATCAAAGAGGTTTGGCAACACTGAAATTCGGAGGAAACGTCGAGTGCGCCAAGAACACCACTATCATGACCACTCCGCTTATCGTGCATACCGCCCTCTATGGCATTGCATAAAAAAAATCAATGACGTTTGGCACTTTACCCTATAAATGTATGACGTCACATGTGCATTGTGTGCGATCATCACATCGCAACATGGCGTCATACAGTGTACGATGAGATTTGTGCCTTCCTCCAAAGAAAGTAGACGAAATTAGTCTTCAGATCATCGTTAGTCGCGGAAACTTCGAAAACTACGGAGAGAGCATTCCCGCCACTTCCGAAATATGCAATCTGTGTTGGTGTACGGGCGGCATTTTGCCCGTTGCGTCATGGGGTATATTCCGTACGATGCCTCGGCGAGCGTTGACCTGCCCGGCCGGCGATCAGCCCGGCGGCAGATGCAGCTGGTCACCGCCTCGTGCGGCTTCTCCAAAGACTCGGCAGCAAACAACAACAGACCCGGCCAAGTATTCAAAAAGGACATTTTTGGCGATGATGCCTGTTTTGTTGCCAAGTACAAAAACTACGATGTTCTTGGTAAGATTTACATCCGACATTTTTCCAATCTTTTTTTTAGTTTTACCATATGATAAGGCATAAGGCAAAATAAAAAAAAAACATGTTTAGCGTCCTGCCTCTTTGACAAAAAGGAAGGAGGAGGCCCCTTTTTTTTTTTTTTTTTTCTTTTCAAAATGGCCGCCCAACACATTTTTCAAGACAACGCGGCCGGGCTATTTTTCAAGATGGTTACCAGCTTTCTTCAAAATGGCCGCCACTTGGACTCATTGACTATTTCCACAGCTTTATACACGGTATAAAAGTCTAAAAATACGATTTCTTTCGTCAAAGATCGTTAAAATTTATCAATTTTTGTCTTTAAAAAAAAAAAAAAAAAAAAAAGAAAAAAAAAGGAGGCAGCCTCTAAAAAGGAAGCGGGCGGGGACGCTAAACATGTTTTTTTTTTTACTTCGCCTAATAATGTTGAATTTGCACGTGCACTGTGTTAATGATGTTGCAGTCAGTTTGCTATTTAAATTGTTAAATCCTAATTTTGTTCTGTGTTGCTGGTTTGTCATGTGAAGTGTCAATCATGGATGTCATTGAATGTAACATTACTATCTGGCAAAAGTGTACTTTTGCACATGTAGCTTTACTTCTACATCAAAAGTAAGTAGCAACTAGCATTTCTAGTCATGCTAGTCCCATTGATAAATGTCGAAAATTCATAAATGTGACTGAAATACTGGAGTACCTCCGTATTATTTCGTCACACATCCCTAATGTAGTCTGTACACGGACAGTCCATTGCTAGGGGACCGAAAATCAATTTGAAATCGCAATTATTTTGTCACTTTATACTCGCACAAACTGCTAAAAATTATACAAAAATAATAGTAACAAGTGCATATGTATGCAGGCACACTTTTGACCAAGTTCTATTAATTGATTATGGTCAATCTGGCTTTTCATATTTAGATGTTCCGTCAGGAAGGTAAATATGTAAAGTGCAAGCTTTTTCAACAGAAAGGAGAACCCTTAAAGCTACAGTCCATCATTTGCAGCTATCCAAAAAAGTAACTGACAAAATTATTGTTGAAAAACATACTTGGTTTAAAGATAGTAAGGGGACTTAACTCCCAGTGAAATTATTCTTTCTGGCTGTCAGTTTGAAGAAATCAACAAAAGAAGGCCTTTCCGACACACCGTTGATAATTTCCGTTAGTACATGTAGTTCTTTTTTTTATTCGGAAAAGCGCACGCAAGCGTTGGCACGACGCACACGCACACACGGTTGCTATTATTCGTCGGATCGGTGCGCAACATCGCTTAGCTGCAATCGGCTCAGTGAGAACATGTCTCGGACGCTGAAATGAGGCCCAATTCAAAACATGATTCAGCAGCTTTTGATTTGAAATCGAGATCCTAGAATGTTGTTTTTCTCAAAATATACAGCTGAAGCTGAGCTAAAACTTCATCAGGTTAGTTGAAATGAACGAAATGCACAAATTACAAATGATGGACTATACCTTTAACAACTGCATGTCATCTGGAATATTAAAAACACTGGAATATTGAAAACAGTGTCACACGTAACTGGGACACCACAAGACACCATGTTGCAACTGTACGTCTGAAAATGTTTTGTCCCTCATTTTAGCCAAAAATATGGGAATTTTTGGCTTATTTTTTAACCAAAACAGGAACTAAATGTGATCAAGATAATAAAGGTTTTATCAATGCAACTTATTGGAGTTTGTTACACATAAAGTATCATTACCTTTAATACATTGCCTATTTAATTAAATAAACAAAAAAGACAACAGTTCCTATTAAACCCCTAATTTACATGAACAAAATGACCCACTTACTGGGTTAGCGCATAATTTTTCTGCCAGCACTGTTAGCGCCAAATGGTGATCGTAAGCACAAAATTCTGTGGTTACAGGCATGCAACTTTTCCTCGGATCAGCTGATTTCCTCTTTTTTCACTTCCAATGTGTGCCATTGAAACTAGAAAAACACTGTACAAAATCTTGGAAAGATTTGAATTTCCTCTTTTTTTGTGACTTCCCAGTTGCATGTCTGTGGTTAACAGAGCCATCAAATTGGGCCCAGTTAATGGTCAAATACATGTACATACATGTATACATACATGTACTGCATTTCAGAGGTTATGCAAAATCGTATTAAAATTGGAGGATTCAGGACTGTTAGAGCTAATGAAGTAAGTAACCATACATGTAAGTAAACAAGAAATTGTTATAGGATTTTGTGTCAATATGGACATTGTGATAAATTTTGACATGATTTTTGTAAATAAATCCATTTTTCTCCACCAAACCATTTACGCATCCAAAACCTAAACAAAAACATTTGCCATGTCATGCATTGCACGTGTTATGCTCTGGGCCATTGTAAAAAAAAATGTGCTGTTAGTACTCCCAGCTTGATGAACAACTGAGCTCGTGTCAGCTGTTAAGTACATAAAAATCAAATTACAAACTGTAATGTGTATTTTAATCCATTGTCAACCACCCCCCTCCCCCAAACAAAATTAATGCTCATGTTATCTGCCATAAGAATTGTGCAGATGAGCATTGCATATTGCTACAAGTAGTGTTTTGGCATGTTTGGGGTAGTAACATGTACATGTACATGGATGAATATCAGTGAAATTTCAACCTCGTTCCCCATGGGTACGATCTTGCTGTGCCATGTTGTTTCCTATCATGCCTTGCACGCTCTTAACCCCTGGATTTGTCTCATTTAAATGTGTCAAAATATGACACATCAGGGGTGCGTTTTGGCGGTCATAACCAAGAATTGGTTCGGTGGTTTCTTCTTGGTGAATTTCTTCGGCAATTTTAATTGGGTTAGAATTACACGTGATCATGTAGTACTCAAATCCCCAGAACAATTAACCAAAGAGAAACCACCGAACTAATTCTTGGTTATGACCGCCAAAACGCACCCCTAATAAGGGCTGCAGTTGATGTGTATAACGCGCTACGCCATCTTGAAAATGTTGAAAGTTGTGTTTTTGAAGAATCAATCCTTTCAAACATAGATTTTGGACGTCGTGTTTTTAGTAAGTTTTTGTATTAAATGTACGTACCCCTTTCGTCCCTTTACAACCAAAGATACAGGTTGTTTTAAGCGAAAAATGAGGCTGCCATAATCCATATGGTACAGGCATGGCACAGTTTTGAAAAACAAAATGTTCATACATTTTGTACGTGATGTGCAAAGCACGCAAGTGCATTATGGGCATTCAGTTTTCGAAATGAGCGCGCAGTACGCTATAAATAACCAGTCAGCATCGTTTACGTGTTCATCACGGCCAAGGGGTTAGTGCAAGGAACGCGCACGCGCCCATGGAGTCGAGGCTGGTGAAATTTGTACTGAATGTGGTCAATAACCAGACTGAATGTTGGCTGAAGAGAAAAGCTGATAGAGCGTTTTTGTGGGAGACAACAAATTATCCACAGACATTTTTTTTACTCACCCTGTATACATCATACTTTCAATGTCTTAAACGTACTGTGGGAATTGTCATCTCAATATGTAATGCGAGCTTGTACCGATGTGGGACACAAAATATTAGGCCTATATGCCATGTAGGCGTTTACTGCGGTCCAACAGTAGGCCTAATTGATACAACTGTACAAGAGTTTCAAACAGTTGACTATTTCTATAGGCAGAAAGGCTCAGTTGTAATTTGAGAATTAAAAATATCTATTTTGAAATGTATTATTGAGAATTAGCATGACAAACGTATAGGTACCGGTATATGTACAAGTAGGTTTTGAAATTTTTCCTATAGGATTAAATTGAATTACATTTTTTTTTTTTTTGGAAAATCAAAACATCATTTTGCCGAAGTCATTTTTTTCAATTGGAAGTGAACAAATACATGTAGTACTGGGAAAATACATGTAACTATGATGTTTCTGGTGTTACTTTTGCTTTTTACAACAATATTTACAAAGAAAATATTAAGTTCAGTGTTAAAAATTAAAAATTGCTATTTTGGAAAATTAAAATATCATTTTGCCAAAGTCATTTTTAATTGGAATTGAACAAATACCGGTAGGCCTACACATGAACATGTACATGTAGTGCTGGAAAAATAAGAACTTATTATGTTTCTGGTGTTTGGCAAATGAAAACATTAATTTAAGAGTTTACTTTTTGGAGAAAAAAAAATCATGCTAACAATTGTCAGTTCAATTATTTTTTTTATGAAATTCATACAGACAAACATGTTTGTGTCGTTAATATGTTAACTTTCGCTCCGTCAACTTTAGCCCTGTCTGAAATAAATTTGATCAAGGGTCCGTGTCATATTATTTTAGGGATTCGCAGTACATGTCACTGGGCTGTCACGAGTGGCCATTTACCTATGTCTTATTGAATTTGTATGTTACAGCGAAGCGTTATCAAATTTAGTTTTTCCAAAAAAAAACCAGCGGATGCCTAATCTGGCCTTCACTGAACCCTGGATGGTCAATCCAATCATTTCAAGATGAAAGCGATCAGTAGCCGCGGTTTTTCCTCGGTACCCTGCGAGCTATGAGTGGAATCCTCCCTTCCTTAATGTCAGGCCGTGTTTACTTGATCAAGAACTGATTGGAAAACTGATCCGTCGGTCGGACTGTCAAAACTGAATGAGCTGGGGCTGTGACGAGGCAGTATTTGTATCACAGGCTGGGCGTTAAGATTTACCGATGAATAGTGTTCGGTGTAAGGCTGGCATAATGGGAGTGTGGTGTTGGGTGACTGTTATAAAGGCCAACCATTTAGAAGATGACCTACATAAAATTTGCGTATATGTATACATGTACATGTACCTACATGTACCCTGATAAGAAGAGCACTGTATACTGTCCTGCTTATAACTAGCACAATTTTAAGTAAGATTTGAGGCTTTGCATGGTGGAGATACTAAATGAGGCCCAAAAAATAATAGTTCTGCTTCCGGTTTCCCTACCTACCCTATTCTGACAGCCCCTACCCTAATTTTTTTTATGGGAAAA